TGTTTGAAAAGCCTTCCATTCTGTTTTTGAATAATGTCGTTTCTGCACTAACTATTACTTTTAAAAACGAACAGACAAGAACAGAAAGAAAGGAAAATACTTATTAAAACACTGATGTACTGGGAACTCCGGGCAAAAAAAGTCTGTTTAACAGCTGTTTAAATCTTTTCAGTTCACACGTAAATAAGCTCGTTATTTCTGTCACATGGAGTTCCAAGTTGCTAATAACCTACCCCGCATTATCAACTGTATAACAAGTGCTTCTCTTAGAATCGCGGGACACCTATTCTTCTGTAGCAGTTCTCTTCCATTAATTAAGTGTTTCGTTATCATTATATTGAATATTATTTTTGTTAGTGTTTCAGTCTATGGTTGAATTAAATAAACGGTAATTTTCAGAGAGTTATGGAAACTCCTTTGGTATATAGAGTTAACTTAACTCCTTCAAGAGTTGAAGTTTCGAAAATTTTTTTGACGCCAGTTTAAATCACTGTAGTTTGAGAAAGTTTTGGGCCAAGGACTTTACATTGACATCTTTCAACACTGTGTATATCAAATTCTAAAGGAGCGTGAGAACTGAACAGTAGTCCATGAGTTTCACTCCCGGCAGGTATATCTTTAAGTCTTACACTCACTAATCCAAGAATTCGCCTCACAACTTTTTCCTGTCGTGAAAGAGAAACCATTTTTTTTTTCAAAATGAACAATGCAGATGTAGTGACATCACAACTGGTTTTCGTCGCGATAAGCTACGTACAAACGGACGCAACAACTCCCAACATTGTGAAACCACTCGAATGAGGCTCGTGGTTCCACTTGAGTTTTAAACACTTTATGACGTCATTTCTATGGTCTATAGTATTAAGGGAAACGAGATAATTAGGATTTACACCAATGACAACGACTTTACTATACTAGTTGCGGTCGACGAGTGAAAACCACATGCCTAATTTTTGTCTTGGGTATACTGTGCTAAGCCGAGGCAAGATTTGCAGCGTTCTCATCTACGGTAAAATTATAGGCTGGCTGACCGCATTTCTGAAATCTCTGATAGCTTCTAGTAATGATATAGATATTACAATGATAAACTATTTCTTTCAATTTCTCTTCAAATTGTTTTTCTCTACATACTTGGATCAGAATTGTCCGTTGTATGTTATTTCGTTTCTGTTCATGCTATCCCGGATGTGTCATGGCGTAACTGCTGAACAATGCCCAACGAGACAACCAATTCATGGCACGGCGTTGAAAGGATACACTTTCAAGACTCTGCTAAACTTGAGTTCATTTGAATGTTTGTATTACTGTCATGATGAAATCAGATGCCAGAGTTATAACTACGTTCTAAAAGAAAATATTTGCGAGATGAACAACAGAATAAAGGAAGCAAAACCAGACTAGTTTGTTTCAGATCCAGACGGCCTCTACGACAAACGTGGAGCACGTAAAGGTAAAATAAAGTTTATAAATAGTTTAAGGCCCTGTCCACACTAATGCGTTTTCAAAAGTATGCTTCTTCTTTGTCATTGAAAACGCATCGATCGATTCACGTCCACACTACCGTTTTGTTGCGTTTTCGACTGTCCACGTTAAAACGTCCGAAAACGATAGGATTGCACGCGGTGATGTAAGTTGAACTCTATTGCGCATGCTTCAAACACACGTGCCTGCGATATTGTCGGTCATCACTCTCACTTTGATGCGGTTTCGACCGCCACTGATACGATACGTATGCGTTTTCGTTTTCATCCACTTTTAACAGCTTTTCCAAATCGATGCGTTTTCGATGAAAGTGCTCAGCGTATTAGTGTGGACGGAAGGCCTAAACGCATTAGTGTGGCCGGGTCTAAGGCAATTGCATTGCTGTTATAATTTCATTAACCGATATTGTCTGCAGTCAGCCTCGGTTCCACTCCCGCGTTACCAGCTGAATCGTGCGAGGAAATCAAAATCAGTGAAGGAGGAGACGCAGTCAGCGGTAATTGGTGGTTTGGCAATGGCTCTGGAGAAGCGACCTTGGCTTACTGTGACATGCATGAACCTGAAGGTTTGATCCCAAAAGTTGCGTTCTTAAAGGCTGCACCGGTCGTTTCAGGGTATTAGGGGCTCTGGAAGACTTTGTTGGAGGGCAGAGAGATATAAATGTCAGTAATCAGCTCAAGTGTAGACCATTTGTTCGGTTTTAATTAATTGGCTCTGAGTTATTTATTTCCAGCATAGTTGTAACTTTTTGACAAAACGTTAGCCATAAGTTACACAAAGCATTAGGTTATATCACAATTACAATTTTTTTAAAGTAATAAAAACTTACATAGCGCACTTTTCCATGGGGCATGATCAAATGCGCTTTACAATGAGTTAAAAAGGTAAAGGCGGACACGAGCCAAAGGCCCACACGGCCGGAGCTTATACTGGTTTCCGTAGCATGAAGCAAGCCTAGGTATATTGCTAACTCCCTCCTGGACGGAATGCTAGTCCATCGCAGGGTTTTCCCCCAGCAGTATGTCCTTACCCAATTATACACCTGGATGGAGAGAGACAAAGTGGAGTAAAGTTCAATGTCTAAGGAAACCAACGCGACGGGCCAGGCTTGAATCCCAAACCTCCAGATCCAGAGCTATATATGGAGGAACGCACTTGTACTTTAGGTCGAGGTTTTACCAATGAGGTGATGTTACCGAATATCCCTAAAGCGACTATCCTTAAACTATCCTTAGCTATCCACCAAACAGGCATAAAATGCTGACGCATAACTACTAACGTCCTGTTTATCAACGTCACTAAGAAAATGTTCATCTTATTTTGTATCTAACGACCGCAAAGTTTCTGACACTAACATGTGACCATCCGGGACCTTTGCACTTCCTCGACCCAAGCTTGGTTGTCCTGAATCAGATGATTTTGACCGGAAACTTGGTTAGAGATTCCAGGACACCGAAGACACAAACCCTAGAAACGGTCGTTCGGAGAGTTTTCACTTAGACGCTGATGTTGAGTTATCTAGGGGAAGTTATGTCAACAGAAGTTTCTGCAATAAAGAAAAAGACTCTTCGTGGGAAAAAGAAAAAGCATGACCCCAAGGTGACAACAATTACTTTTGCTTATTACCCTGTACGCTTTTTTGGTCCTCTTATTCATTTGGTTTTAGGCAACACTGAAGATTAAAAAGAAGAAGGCTAACGATAATGGTAATGATAACCGATGAAAATAATTTCTTCCTAGGCCTTTAAGCCGGGAAGGGTTAAGTTAAAAGAAATCGGATTCGATTTATACCCCACCAAAGTCGCTGGGTTTTTTTATGTTTTTTGTTGTTGTTGTTGTTGTTGTTTTTTCTTTTGTTGCCTTTTGGAGGGATTTATAGAAAGGGTGGTGGTGAGGGGAAGGGGTTTGGGGCTACTTATTTTAAAAACGATGCTCAACAGTGAGAGTTGTCGTCAGCGCTGGAGAGCGTACCGTGTTCGGGATCATTCATTCAAAACATTTTCCCGTCTCTGATTGGCTCAAGCCCCCCGGCTGATTCTTATTAACCAGATTTGGAAGATGAAGGCAATATACATACCATCGTTACTACGGTAAATTACCCCCAATATAAATCTCAACCTCGTATCCAGGCGGTGGCACGGCAGCCAAGCTGTTTTGGCGTGAGTGAACTCAAAAAATGACAGAAAGTTCACGGCTATCGTAAGACAAAACTATTGAATTACGGACAAACCTGAAAAGAATGGAACAACCCAAGAACGTTAAAAGAAGTTGCTCGATGACCTCGATGAACAATATCTACTTTTTAAAGAGTATTTAACGGATACCCCGTGAATACGGCCACTTCTATGGTCCCCCCCCTCAGTGTCCTTGTTAGCGGGGTTTGACTGCATATGAACTGTGCCGAGAGACCGACCCAATGTTTTGAAAAATGTCGACTAGGAGGTATTGGTGTTTAGAAAATTTTGAATGAGTAATAAACTGAACTATTCAGATCTGGGAGGCTGTTATCTACCAAGGCCTTCGGCCTCGGTGAATAACATTCTTCTAGTTCTCCTGTCTGTATAATTCTTCACATCATACTCAGCCTCATTGAATAATCGATAATTATTATTCCTTCAGCATACTTCCCCAATTCTGATTGGCTAAAAGCACACGTATAATTCACCATAACCAGTTACTAATGACCAAATTTGGAAGAATTTTGTTTTTAACGAGGAAATGACGTCAAAAATGCAGCTCGATACAGGTTAAGGCACCGTTGCCGAGAAGACCTGGGGACAAGGTTGAGCCTTTTGATTGTGAAAAAAAAAATGGCGGACGTTTCACTCGTTTTAAGAGTCAGAACTACAGCTGGAACTAGGCGAAATAACAGCTAAAAACTTGGCAAAAACAGCAAGAAGACAATTTGGAAGGCGATATCTGCTATTTGGAGAATATTTGCGGAGCTGGACACACCTAAACGTACTCTATCGAAGATGAACTTAACATCGATGTGGGTAAGCATGTTTTAGCTATGTTTTTAAACTAGGAATTATTTTGAATGAATAATAAAGCACTTAACGAATTCGGCTTTCGTAGGATATGAAGAATTAAGCAGATCGAGGAGGGTATTATCCACCGAGGCCGAAGGCCAAGGTGGATAACGCCGTCCGAGATTTGCTTAATTCTTCATATCCTACTAAGCCTCATTCATTAATTGCTAAATATCGTCACCATCACTTGCTTATCATTAGGGAGTTTCAGTTAAGCAGCGACGTTTTTGACTGCGATCGACGCACAACAACCGGACGTGAACCTTTTTCTCTTTTAATATGCCTTGACGCTACCAAATTTATATTGCTATGTGTCTTTATTCTTAAAGAGACGATTTTTCCAAGAATTTGTTAAAAAAAAAACACGCCCGAAAAGTAAAAAAGGTCCACTTCCGACCGATGCGCGTCGCTCAAAAACGTCATTGGTTAAACTCCCTATCAACTGCTTCTAGTTTCCTATCATTCAATCAAGAACATTGTATTTTGATGCTAATTTCAGGGAAGTATTGCGTCTACAAGAAAGGCGTTTGTCCATTGGGACTCAGCGAGGGGTTTCTACATTGGGACGATGAAGATAGAAATAACGTTAACAAAGACGGTGGATCACTTCCTGAAGGCGCATACGGTTCGGACACCAGGATTTTCTTCTGCTGTAGAACGGATGGTGATAAGTCAGATCCAGTGCCCCTCCCTCTTAGTAAGCCCTTTTACCTGCTAGCGTATGGTTCGTCTGACTGTCAACTCGTTAAAGGAGCCATTACTACTACAGAGTACATAATCTTTGATAACGAAGACAAAAATAACCAAGACTCATCAGGCGGAGTACATCCGTATGCAAGTTCTAGTTTGATCTACTACTGTTATTATCAAGGTAAGCTTGTTTGCTTGTTTTCTTTACAATGATTATGGTGTTGTTTGCTATGCTTTTCAATCGTCAGACCAAACGGAAAAGTTCGAAACGCGCACTCTGATTTGCTAGCTAGGAAGCGAATGCAGTTGATTTGCTATTCATCTCAGATGCGAGAACATCCTTGAACCATCAGAGGCAGCTAGTCTGGGTCGTGGTATTTTGGATTCATTATGAATAAAATCCCTCTGGGGTTCATTCCTACAACGTGCGAGGTGCATCGAACAACATTTTTGTACCAAGGCCTCGTACTGAAGCTGCTAAGCGGGCTTTTAGCTATAGGGGGTCAGTCATGTGGAATGGCCTAGAAAATGTGCTTAAAGACGAGATAAATCTCAACTCTTTCAAGTCTGCCCTGTCTTTGTCTTGAACCAGAGATTGCCTTGAGCGAGTTGAGATAAAATTTATGTTACTTATATAATGTACCTTTAAGGTTGATCGATTTTTGTGTAATTAATAATATATATAATAATATTATAGGATAGAGTTTCTTAATATATAGATATATATTTTAGCATTAATGTAGTTTCTCTGAAAATTTTGTTATGTAAACGGCTCACTGGAAGAGCATTTTTAATGAAGTGATACCGTAAATAAAGCTTGATTGTTGTTGTTGTTGTTATTTGTTATTTTTTTAGCGCCGGCATCAGTGGAAACAACTACCAACTGTTCGAAACTTTTAGAGAAGACAACTGCCACTAGACACTCTGTGCCTGCAGCTATCAAGAGCTCTTCAAACCAGCTTCCGGTCAGATTTATATCCGACACACATAATGAACACCCAGGATTTGTGGCCAACTATCGAGGTACTGATGCCTTGTGGCTTTGAGGAAGCTAAGAGGCGTGACTGGGTTATCCCAGCATTCAAAGTCTTACTAAGGCTAACGCTATATTATGTTTCTCTGCATAAAACACGTCATAAAACGTAATACTTATACGTACTTCGTTACATTAGGGGGTGGGGTTCGGAATTAGAGTGATACAGAAAAGACAAACTTGAAGGACTTTGCGCGCTAAAACTAGTGGCTCGAAATCGTTATGGCCTTTGGGCTAACAAAACTTTAATGTTCCTGTAGGGCATCTAAGATAAATCGTCACACTACACCGAACCCTACTATTCGAATCTTTACGCACGCCCACTGTCACATCACAAGTCAGTGGCAGCCATAGAGGGTTGTTTTCTCCTTGTTAGGAAGTTCATCAACATGGCAAAGTTTCACGGGCACTGTTTACTGCGGAGATGCTGAGAAGACTGAGCACCTTTAAGCACCTTTAAGAATCCTTATATCGTACGGGTACGTTCTGACAAGGACAAAACAGTTATTCAAGTGTGCCCACGCTGGAGTGACATTGCGGTGGGGATGCGAAACGTACTGACTATTTCCAGGGGTTGGTTTTGTGATCATCATTGCCATAATTGTTTGTTGTTTTCAAATGCGGTAACTAACAAATGGCGAAATTTGATCCTTTTTGTTCTTTTCATGCCCTTAGCCGTTGGTCCTGGTGCTGTACGTCTTGTAAATGGAACACTCTCCTCTGGAACAGTTCAAATATTTTATGATGAAAAGTGGGGCACAGTCTGTGACGAATCCTGGGATATCACTGACGCTAACGTAGTGTGCAGGCAGCTTGGTTTCTCCGGAGCAAATCACTCTGTCAGCAGCGTTTATGAAAGTTAACAAGCAGGCCATGTGTGAATAAACAAGGTAAACTGTTCCGGTAGAGAGTTGTTCCTTTACAATTGCAAGCACAGTGGGTGGAGAACTAGCGACTGCTCCCACAACAGAATGGCAGGGGTCAGTTGTTCAGTGGTTCGCCTGGTTGATGGTGGTGAAAGATTCGGACGTTTGGAAGTTTACTATGGAGGACAATGGGGAACTGTCTGCGATAATGGCTGGGATATGGCAGATACTAACGTTGTGTGTCGTCAGCTGGGATTCTCTAATGCAACTTCCTTCTCTAGTGGGTCTGAGTATGGTGTAAGGTCAGGTCGAGTATGGATGGCTGAAGTGAAGTGTCACGGAGATGAACACTCATTATTGGATTGCCCACATGACGGCTGGGGAATGCACACATGTATTCATAGCAAGGACGTTAATGTGGAATGTGTTTAACACTCTGAGGGATGAATACAAACACGAATGAACATAAAACGAAATCCACTGCACATGACAAAAATCAGATCTGTGATCATTACAGTATTCGCATCAGCATACAGGACACCCACCACGAAAAAGACCGGAAAAGCTGCCGCAGTTTACAGTTAATTTTTATCAATAGTTTTTTAGTTAATACTAAATAATTCCTAATATCAAATCTTTTTCTTTTCGAGGGAACGGAATCTTCTCTCTCCTAACTGTCAGCTGCCTTCGTACTAGCTCTGAAATAATGATTTTAACTTTGCCAGACCGAGACAGTCGATAACTCTCTTCTTCTAAAAAGACACGTTTTGCAACGTAGCAAATAGTGAAGCAAAATAACTGCCAAACCTTCACTTCTGGGATTTTGTCGGCGACATAATGGACTTTTCACCATGGGAGTCAAAGGGAGGAAAACTATTTAAGTAGCTGAAATTTACGACGGCAAAATAATTGCGCACAGACTTAAATACTTAAGTAAAGTCCCGGTGAGTGATCTCTAAGAAAGAAAACATGGAGAAGAAACCTGCCAAAAGATGCAGTTTGGTAAGGACTACAAAGGGCCAAAATGTTCAGAAAATGTCTTCTGGAAACCTGAACAGCGTTATATTGCACGTTTTCAATTGAGTTTAAAATACAGGAGAAGCTCTAGCTGCTTTCGACCACTCTCGTAAGCGACCAGCTCTAGTTACGACTAACCTTTGTGAAACCCAGTTTGAATTGTGGCTTAAACTTTGTAATGAAAAGTTGTCGTAATCGACGACCGCTCCCGTAAGCGACCTCGACCACTTTTGGGATTACCCAAATGGACTTTCCTTTGTTTTTAAGCTCTCGTAAGCAGCCATTCAGAGTCTTATTCATATAAATCAAAACTTTAATGAAACTGCACACTGCGCTAATGGTTCGCTGTTAAAGATCTTGGGGCTATTTTGGTCTAAGACACTGGACGTAAATTTTTCCCCTGTCTATATCAGATACACTCATTAAACAGACACTCAGTAAACATTGATTTCTTTTGTTTTTTCTTTATGAATTATTAATGAGTTTCTGAAGCTCTCGTAAGCGACCGCTTTCGAATTTCCGAGGTGGTCGCTTACGAGAGCTTCGATTGTAGCTGAGAATCTAGCTTCGAGCAGTGATGATAAGGCGCAACTCGTCGATGGACGTTGTAGGGTATTTTGCAACCACATCTGTGGTTTATTGACTTTATTGCATTCCCAAGTTTTCCGATAACAGTTGCCATGGAAACTGAAACACTACCAAGGAAACTGTAACACGTATGCCATTCTGTCCGTAACTCGATAAGCAATAATTCTAAAGGCATGATGCAACTGAAACACTCCAGTCGCAAACGGGAACAGTTAGCTGCACATCATTGTATTATATCAGTTCAGTTATTAAACTGAAATTTAAAAAGATCTGTTTCAGCCCAAGGCCAATTCAGCCCTGCAGGCCAAAGTCTGATTCAGCCTCTCCTAGAGACATATGAGCAAAATTTAGGCCAAAACTGCCCCATCAAAAGCTTATTCTAGCCCATGCTGGGACTAATTTCAGCCCATGGGTCCAATTAGCCCTAATAGGGTAGGAGCCCACAACCCGGAGCGAGCAAATAGGCCTGTCACGGCGTTTTCACAGACCGGTTTATTTTAAGACACATTTTAGAGCACTCGCGCCAAAACCGTTCTAAAAATAGTCGGTGAAAACGCCGCGACACAAGCAAAAGTCCTTCCGTAGCCAGATGAGACCCATAAAAAGGACTGGATCTTACTCACCCAAACGGCCCCATTTTGGGGGCTAAAACAGGTCTTCCTGGTTTACAGTGTAGTTTGTAGTCAAACGAAATTTTGCAAAAAGGGGAAATGAATGATCGTTATCAGCCTTATAAATTCATTATATCACAAATCATATTCTCCAAACCGCTTCCCATACATACATTAAAATTAAGATATTCAAGTAAGTGGGGAGACCGCTCATCCAGAGCCTAAAAAAAGAGGGGGCCTTCCACGAATATATTTTTTCTCAGCCCCGGAGGCTTTATTTTGGTCTAAAAATAAGGAGAAGGGCCCCCAGGGGCCCTCCCCTAGTTCCACCTGACTGTCTTACAAGGCTGGAGTCTGCTATACAGCTTTTCTCAAAGTGGCCTTCAGGTTTTGGTTTTGTTCGGATTTGTGTATGCTAAGCTATTGTCATTATATTTATGTTTGATCGTGTCATGTTTTTTTTTAATAAGTGTGTTCGCCCAATTCAGCAAGCGCGACCTGTTGTCATGCGTGTTTCGATAAACGTTTAAATTCACAGCTCGCACAAACGTTCCTCCTCCTTTAAGGTAACATACTTTTTTGTGGAAGTGCATGTGAATTTAAGCTATTGAAAATGAGAACTTTGAAAAAACAGGAAATATACGACCCGTATTTTAACATGTATTTGAATTCGAAGTCCGGGGAGGTGTACATCCTTATAAGAGGCTTATGGGGTTGCGCCGCTGGATGGGGTCGCATTTTCACGACTGTATTGACTGTACTGGGGTCGCATTTTCAATAGAGTTACTAGAATGGGTTCGCACATTTGCAGACGTCTTTTTGGGATAAGAACGCTACCAGAATGTTTGTACTGCAGATGAAAAGTAACGTGTTCTTCATTCAATCTAAAAAATGGGTCAATTTATAAAAATAGAAAGTGACTAAGTTGGGATCGCGAAAATTACATATTTGCCCAAAAGTGACTAAGATGGGGTCTATAACTGGCCACAGTATAGACTATAATGGGGTAGGGGCTCTGAGAAGCGGCACATACCGAGCAAAACTTAACTCAAGTACCCCCCGTCCCCCACCTGGTATTCGAAGCTATAGAGAGTAAATGTGAGGGGGAAGTGCTGAACAGTTAATACCATGAACCATAGGGTTCTTAATCGTTACAAAGGGAAATTATTGTGCATTGATCGGTTTTCCGAGATGAATCAATAGACCCGTCTACCATACAAACGTCTGTAAAATTTCGACACTTTAAGAAGCGTTAGTTTTCAACAAATCACTTTCAAACTTGGCAATCTTACTAATTGTAAGGCGCTCTTTCTAGCGGATTTGACGAATTTTCCCTAACTTGTCGATAACTCAAAAGTTTAAAAAAAAAACGTGAAAGGCCGTCTATTGAACAATACACACTCAAAACACAATGCAAATTTGTGAAATCAGCACCATAACCCAGCTGTAAACAAGAGAGCTTCTAATATCATGACAACAGAACTACTGTTTTTAGCGGAGCCCTCGCGCGCGCGAAGCGCGCACAGCGGAGCACCGTGGATAAGAAAATATGGTAATCTATGCTTCCAAGAAATTTTGTTTCTGAGAGAATCGTCCGTACGTACGTCCACCCCTTCATGTTAGCAGATGCGAAATGACACACTTTAATACTATCTGTGTAAAACTTGGTATTGGACATACATGTTGTGATCAATTGACAGCTGTCAAAAAAGGGTATCCGCTGACCAGTGTCACATGACTGCATCGCAGGCCCGGGTATACAACTCCTGGAAGTGATGTATTTTTTAAAGTTACCCGCTGACCAGTTATTCGTTTTTAATTGATGGCGGGCGCAGGTCAGTTTTCTTAAGGGTAGAATTCAGTTTGCTCTCTGCTTACGGCCAAAGTATAAATAATTGAGGAAGACATTTCCTAAAGCATCTTTTGAGAGCGTCGCTTTTAGCCTTGGCTAAATCTACATATTATAGTGGAGCTCTCTCGCGCGCTAAGCGCACGTAGCGGAGCACCATGGGTAAGAAAATTTGGTAATCTATGCATCCAAGAAATTTTGAAGAAAATCGCCCGTACAGAGTACGTCCGTACGTACGTCCACCCCTTCATGTGAGCTGGGATGAAATTTTGCATTTCAAGGTCCCGCGCGGTTAAGCGGTACATCTCTTTAAGAGATAAAAAACAAAGGAGACCAATTTCGTTTGAAGAATAGCATGAAAATTTTATAGCGGCGGTGAGAAAATGAGAAATGCTAGCGGGCACCAAGGTAAAAATGAGCGGCAGCGAAAAAAAAAGTGAGCAGAACCACATTCAACATTATAGGGAGCTTAAGCAACTACGACGACGACCACAACAACGACTTCAAAAAAACAATAGGTTTAATGATCAAAACAACAGCTCTGCAGGTGCATCACGCTTTTTAGTACATTTCTTTGACGTCCACTGCACGACTACGAAGTGAAACCTCCTAATTTGACGTTTTATGGACGACGTGGGCGTGCGACGACGAATTTTCCTTCCTCTTTTTGAACTTGAATAAAATTCTTAAGAATTCAACTCCAGGAAAAGTCGCCTGCATTTGACATATTGAGCTGGTCCAAATAGACGCGATTAAGTTTGAAAGAACGCAAACTCATTTTTCTTACCAACGTTTTCACTCCCGTCGTCGTCGTCGTCGTCCTTGCTTAAGGTCCCTAACCTCCATAAACGTGTAACTCAGAAGTTTCTGGAAGTTTCACGTTGTCGCCGTGCAAAACAACGGCAAAGAAATGTACAAAAAAAAGTGTGCTGCACGTGCTAAGTTGTTTTTTTGCTACTTAGATTGGCGACTGTTTTTTTGGCTGTTTTCGTTGCCGTCGCCGCTTAGCATTACACGATTTTATATTTTGTTTCAGTAAACTATAGATATTAACGAGAGCTTCGCTTTTAGCCCTCGCTAAATCTATATTTTATTTCATAGTGCGTTTAAAACAGTTTGTTACCCAGAGACTTTGAAAAGGTATTGAGATGAAATCGTGGCCCCGTGCAATGTGTTATCACATGATAAAACTCGTGTGGGATCATGGGTAATCCAACAAAACTATGGCGGTCAATTTGTGGAGTTGTGGTTTCAGGTGATAAAAGAGATGCTGCTAACTTAAATACTTCACAGCTAATAACTTTAACATCATGGGACACAAGGGGAGTAAACTTAGTCAAGAGAACATACGAGAGCTGCAGCAGAGCACGTATTGTAAGTTACAGTGCTTTCCTTTTTACTTCGATCTCACTGTCATTAGATCGGATAAGCTCACCGCTTCAATAGATTTTGATACTGCGGTCAGCAATTTTCCCTTTTAGTTGTTTACTTAAGTGCTAAATGAAGTGTCTTGTAATTTTTTATTTCAGTCGATAAGAAAGAATTACAGAAATGGTCAGTATATGACTTTTTTTATTATTTTAAAACGAACTTTAAAGCTGATGTTTTGTCATTTTAATTGACTATGAGTTCGCAGGCTTTTGTCAACAACATTATTGTTATTGAACTTTTCTGTTTTGAATAACTAAGCTGAACTAAAAATCCTTCATGTGATCAATCTCTGCCTTGTTATACCTCATTTAGGTACCGAGATTTTATGAAAGATTGCCCTTCTGGCGAGCTCAAGCAAGAGGTCAGTAAACTTGTAAACTGTTATCGTTTGCATAAACTTACTGCTTGTATACGGCGAACGTAAACACTTGACACGCCGTTTGTTTTCGCATCTTTTCCCGTATTTTTAATCATTTATTTTTATTTTGTATAGAAATACTTAAATTCGTGCCTTTTTCAAATCGCTCGCAATGATCAAGAGTGTTCAGCCAAATTAAATACCGTTTGAATTATCCGAAAATGTCAACTCTTAAATGACCGTAGTACAAGCTAAATTCTACAGAAACACAGGTGCTTTGCAGCGCTTAAATTTAGGCTATATTTTTTCTAACAAAAGACCAGAAATACGTTCGAATACAAGTTTAAGAAGCGCTTTTGAAAGCGAGGTGTGTCTTTTAATGAACATTCATAAGCGAGGTTTGTTACTTGCATATTATAATCCATTTCCTTTAAAAACTTATGAACTTATTAATTGCCCTCCTAATAGGCAATAAAACAAGACTTTATTTTTGTCTTTAAGGCTTAGTTTAAACCAAAACAAATGAAGTGAATCACAACTGAAAATATGTTTAAGGTTTTTCTGTGAATTGAAAGTAACAAAAATAGAAAATGTCGAGTATGAATTAAAAATATCTCTAACTTGTTACGCGAGTTCCTACTGCTGCATATACGTAGATTGTTTATGTACATTCGCCATGTTTTGGTTACACTCAATTTGCATAAGAAGTAGAAAAATTCATTATTTATACTTATTTATATTTTCGAGATACTCTAATTTTTATTAGTGTCCATGGTTTACCCAACTTTAATTAAATTTTGTTGGAATTTTTTTTCTGTTCAGTTTTCAGAGGTTTAAATATTATTTAAGGTTAAAGCAAGGTGGTATTTTGCAGCATAGAAATGTCACACCTGATTGTCATGTTGGCATAATTCTTGTGGCCAATAATGTTTTCCATCATTTTTATGGAGCCTTGTTGCTCAATTTTATTATGGATTTTCATCTACTAGGAAGGATAATTTGCTTAGAAAATTTGGATATAAGATTTTGAAATCTAGGTTTCAGATTTTTAGATTTAATGCAAGATCTGAAAATCAATTTTGATGACAAAAATATGGATCCTCAAGTTGAATTTCAATTAAGAAATCCATTAAATTGGATTCTCTACTATTTCATTGGGAAATCTGAACAAGGATTTGCAGAAATGTTCTCTTGAACAGTCATCTTCAATGTCTTATAATAATATGTGCACATGCAAGACTGCTGCTCTTGAGAGCAGCTTTTAAATCTTTTTTCTGAATTTCCCGCCCCCCAAAAAAAAATGTGAACAGGCATTAAAATCTTCTTTTGGATTTTGCATTTTATTGCAGGTCTGAAATCAAGGTTTCAAAATCTAAATCCAGATTTTTCAATTGAATGCACCCGAAATAGTTATCTTAAACTGGAAATAATCTAGTTTCTAATATCATTAATTGCCTCTTGTTAACTATAGAAACCCTTTGCATGATAAATGCTCATCATGTTGCTGTCAGCAAGGCATTTTTTCACTGTTTGTAGGTCTGGAATGAACATAGCAGCCTGTCGAATTATCCAAGAAACAAGCAACCCCTTGCCACTATTATTCCTAGTGTGGGAAAAACAAACACTTTGCTGGGATTCAAAGCCAGAACCTAACAGTAATGCCCCAAACTTTGTTTAGAATTGGAGCACTCGGCTGGCTTTTGTTCATAATGGTACTTTGCAGTTTCCAAAGTTCTTTATGCAGTTTTGTTTGTTACATTTTTGTTGCTAGACAACTGGTGTACTATATATGGGTAACGGTTTCCAAGATTCAACTGCCTTGAAGCAACCCATGCACACCGTGAATTCTGAGAAATCTACAAAGCTTACAGATACATTGGCTCTAACGTCTTTCTAACCTAAGAATTTTTCTCATATTTTATTTGTCTATGTGTATGTCTTTTGTAGGAATTTCAAAAGATATATCAGCAGTTCTTTCCCTTTGGTGATCCTTCAAAGTTTGCAGCTTTTGTCTTTAAAGTTTTTGACAAGAACTCTGTAAGTAATTTTAAACATCTTTCACTTTTTTCGTGGCAACACTGTTGTTTCTTCCAGATTTCATGCAGTCTTGAAGCAATTCATGTGCTGAAGGCCAACTTTTTCTTTTTTCAATGGTTCTGTTTTTGTTTTATCCTTTGAATAATTTTTTAGTCATTTTGTTTTGTCCTCCATTTGGTAATGTAGTATAAATATGTGCAGTTATAAGAAAGGCGAAACAAAAAAGTACCCCAGGATAAAAGAACCACAACGTCTTTCATGAGCTGAGTAAGACTCACTCTAAACCAGGATAATTTCCACTCAAAAGATCAGAGAGATGTACAATAGCCTGCCCCACAAATGAAACTCTAAAACTCTGGTTAAGTCTGTTTGCAAAACCACACCAAAATCCTTGTTCTGAGCCCCCATCTGGGTACCAGGATTTGAGTATGCACCATGATTGGCTTGTTAAAAAAGCCTTTGTGAATTTGCCAATCAGGATGAAAGGAAATTTGAAAGGCACCTCCAGTAATTTGTTGAATTCATTGAGGCCCAGAAAAAGGATCTCGGCGCTGCTTCACGGATGTTACTAACTGAGGTTCAATTACATCTGCTATGCAAGCTACATGTACAATGAATTAGCCCCAAGAGAATTTTTGTGTCTCAGTTTGGACAACTCAGTAAATCAAAGTCAATTTTCATGTTTACTTCTTTACCAGCAATAGATCACATTTTCATAGCAGAGTGCAGCCATTCGGCAGCTTCTGTACGTGATGTTTTCTTTTTCCTTATTAATATATGTGATTTGTGAGGCATGTGAGCACAACAAAGTGCATGAGTCGTAAATTCTAGAGAATAATAAGGGTGCATGTTTACATATAGAATGGATCAAGAAAACAGAGCTAGTAAGATATAATTGTTTGTCAATTATCTTGGGTATTTCTGATCATGCAAAATGCAAGTGCAAGTCAAGGAGGTCGTACAGCAGACAGCACAATAATAATATTTATTTCCTCCTAATATACTGACAAATTAGTTTGTTTACTCTCTGAATGATAATAAATTACATTTATTTAGTTAAACAGAAACCTATTTAGTCTTTCCCTGTCATTGACACTTACAGTGTAGTTAGGAAGTTTAATTGTTTAATGAAGAACTCCATTAAAAATGCCATCTTTTTTTGTTTTCCTCAGGATGGATCAATTAACTTCATAGAGTTTATCTCTGCTTTATCAGTTACTTCCAGAGGAAGTTTGGATGAAAAATTAGAGTGTAAGTATTACCTTTATAGCTATTTTCATTTTCTCTCACTTTCTCTCTCTCCCTCCCTTTCTCTTTTACTTTTTATTCTTTGTCGTTCATTTTGTTGTGTTGTGTTTTTTTTTCTCTTAGACATGTAAACTATTATGGGCTGCCACAGGAGAAGTAGTTGTACATTTCTGGTTGTTTTGCAATTATCATGGGTTGCTCTATACTTCAATATGACACTGTGTGTTAAATATGCACATCTCTGTCTTTCTGAAACTATAGTTACAACAATAGAATGAAAGAAGATTTATATGAAAGAAGATCATTGCAGTTATAGATGCAACTTTTCTGTTGAGAAAAGAAAGCCTGAAAAACCTGTACGGGACTGTTCAGATAGACTGTTGGTTCTCTCAGGTTATTAAACAAGTCAGACAATAAAGCATTGATTGATTCACTCAATCTTTCAGGGGCCTTCAGCCTTTATGATCTAGACAAAGATGGCTATATCACAAGAGAAGAAATGCAAAAAATTGTGGAAGCAATTTATTGCATGGTGGTAAGATTTGTTAATTCATTTAAGCTGCATTTGATGACTCGCTAAATGGCATTTTAGACCAAAAAATTATGCATCTTTACTCTTTCTGGTTCTTTCATACTGAGGGTTGATGCCACAAGACTCCTGGGCCGAGTTGTTTGAAGGGCGATTAGCACTTAATCCGGGGTTAAATTTAACCTGGGTTTCTTTTACTTGTATTCAAAAGCATTTTCTGGGATAATTCTCTCTGTTATTTTGGGAGCTTTCAATCATCAACTTGTAGACAAAAAGAATTAAAACTGAAATGCTTTTTAAGCTTTCAAATGTGAATTCAAATCTCGCACTAACCCTGGGTTAACCAGGGAAGTTTTTAAAAAAATAATCTTCTGGGTTGGGTCTGTCATAAACTCCTTGATTATTTTCCTTTTTAGCCCTTGTTGAACAGTTTCTCTAAGTTGATTATTCTCTAGGCTAATTAATCATGCAGTGAAGAAATAGTGGCTGGTGATTTAATCAGGAACTTGAATTGAAACTTCAAAATCCTGGAATTTCGTTTTCTCTTAGTAGTAGAAAACATGGCTTATAATAATATTATAATGACTGAGTTGATAGGTTGGGGGTTTGGTCAGTAATTTATGTTTCTTTGTTTTTACTTTCCTAGGGTAGTATTATAGATTTACCAAAGGATGAAGATACACCTGAAAAAAGAGTTGACAAGATTTTTAAACAAATGGACAAGGTAAATATTAAGTAACAGAGCCAGGCCCCCGTTCCATACAGCAACTTAAGAAGTAAGTGTGAATTTTCTGAAACCTTTTCCTCTGTTCGAAAGGGAATATTTTGTGCTCCCTTTGTATTTCCCGTACTCATCAACTAAACTTCTTCAGGAAAATTATATGTGATATTGTGCAAAAAAATCTCCCAGGACAAAGAGAGCGGCTGCAGAAAATTTGCACTGAATATTAAGTTGCTTCAGTTGGGCCTATATAAACATTTGGAGCCAATCACCATCGAACTCTTAAGGCAGCATAATTGTCAGTTATCCTTTATTCAACCTTTATTCAAAAATGTTTAGTCTTGCAATAGGGGTGCCATCATGCAAGATGTCTAGCTATTAAAATAAAATGAAATAAAGTTTAAAATAACGATTTCATAGCAATAACAAATCTCCTACAAAAGATGAAATGGATAAAAAAAATCACAGCATTAATTATTGTACAATATTAAAATTCATCATTGACTCAAATGCTCAAATAAGACTTTTTTCAATCGATCTGCGGACTTGATGTTAACAATTTCTCTTGGTAACGCATTCCAGTCCTTGGCAGTTCTACAAAAATAACTATTCTTATAAGTCTCAGTATTTGGCAGCAGTTTGAACAATAAAAGTGCTCTGGCTAGAGTTCCTTAAATGTCTTCTGCACTTCACAGGGGCGGATCTAGGGGAAGGGTGCAGGGGGTGCCCCCCCCGCCCCCCTGAGATGACCCGCGGTTTTCTAATACAACTGATATTCTGCGAAAAAAAAAACTATGTGGTTCATTGGTGTTGAAGTAGAGCAAGAGACGAGTGCACCCCCTCCTAAAAAAAATCCTGGATCCACCCCTGCTTCATAACGTAGTCTGGGAAAGCCAGGCCGCCGTCACCATGAATTGCTTTATGGAATAAGGTTAACCGTGAGATTGTTCTTCGTACCTTCAGCGGTATCCAGTTTAACTTGTTCAACAGGTTGGTAACTGTTCCTGGTTTCCGCGTATAGCAGTTTTTGACGAAGTGCGCGGCTCCTCTTTGTACTCCCTCTATTTGTTTGGCGTGTTCTTTTTTTAAGTGCGGGTCCCAAACTGAGCTGGTGTATTTTTCTGACTTGCAATTGAGCGCTGTAGTGATCAGTGATTATGTGTAGGCCTTAAATCAAAGTAAATATCAATCTAATTTCAATTTATTTACTCTGTCCATAGTGGGGAGTTTGTAAGTTATACACGTAGCCCAGCTTAGCCCAGTGTAAAATGCTATACCATTGCATGCATGCATGCATGCAAGCAATCACTTTCATGTTATTCTTTCGTTCATTTATTGTTATAACTATTATTATTTCTAACATTCAGAACAGAGATGGGAAGTTGACAATGGAGGAGTTTCGTGAGGGATCTAAATGTGACCCATGGATAGTTCAAGCTTTGGCAATTGATTTACCTCATGAAGATCTCTCTCAAGCTGAAGATTAACTTACAAACCGCACTAATACGTTAGCTTGTATAGTGGTAGCTAAGAAGTAAAATCTAAAATAGTAGTCTTAGTTTGTAAAAATCTTTGTCAATTTGCTCGGTGGATATCTAATAATACATTTAGGATGTAGATGGAATGGACTGAGGCGTTTTCTATGTGTTGTGAAGTGAAACTTCGTGCTGAGAGTAGTGGAATCTTCTGGTTAAGGGAAGTTTTTTCGTGGATAACAAAAGAGTAAATTGTAGCCCTGCGTTTCTAAAGTCGTTGATTACCTGTGCTTTCTCTTTTCCGTAGTACAGTGTGTTTATGTCCAAACAAGGTGGTGTAAAGAATATAGCAAAAATACTGTACATAGCAGTGACTCAGTCCAGTACCTAAAGTGACCGTCACAACAAACCATTGTTACAGTTGTGCTCCAAGAATAAGCAGCGTGGCCGTTAAGTGAAAGTGACACTATAGTTCACTATTTTGTGTGCAAACCTTTCTGTATTTCTCCTGTGTAAATCCCCTGTTCAGTAAAAATATTTCGGGTGAGTAAGAAACGACGTGATTTATTAAGGTCAGCCATTTATGTGGCTTCTCCTCAAACGCCAGGCCTCGAAAAAGAGACCCGTAAATTAGGTTTATGGCGCGTTATTTTATGTAGCGTATTCTATAACACTCAAAATCGGAGAAAGTGTATTTAATTTTTGGAATTATTAGATATCGCTGACTAACTCCGATGTGTTCTTAACAAGACATTAATCAGCGCATAAATGCACTAATCCTCTATCAATGTGTGCTGTTTGGCTCTGCTCGTGCACATATTTTTCAGTAGGGGGGCTTTTCTCTTCGTCCTGGCTTTCTTTTTGTTTCTGTGTTTATTGTTTAATCTAAACTTGTAATGTTCTAAGAGCTAGAACTCTGTGTTCATGCACCATTGATGTAATGTTGAATTTTAAAGAACTGTTTAGTTAATGATATGTAATATACCATCTCTTAAGTTATTTGATTATTTATTAGCTTGTATCGAGTTGCCAGGTGTTATAACGATTTTTTTTTTGTAAAATTTTAGGTATCATTGTGTGAGAGTGTGAGATATTTATTTAGTTCCATCTGTGGATAAGTAGTAGTATTTATATCACCATACAGGTGTGTAATCGTGGCGAATATGTCATGCATGTTGTATTGATCAGCTTACATGTAGTTTACTTTCCAGTAACTGCGATGCCACACTTAAAAAAGAAATTTTACCTTTTAACCCTGTCCGTCAATTGCAAGTTTTCACGTTTTTTTTCTTTGTGTTCTTTTAGGTGCCTGTTACACGGCGAATTTTAGCTAAGGCGCAATGTTAAAATTGGGCGGAAAAATTTGCAAGAAAAGGCTTGCACATTGAAAACTCAAACAGTGAACATGCACCCCAGTTCACATTTCGGCCTTTCTAACCGGGCTCAGTGAAATTTCGAGCCCGGATTGTGCACGATACCCGGGCTAGAAATTTCACTAAACCAGGGCTGAAACTCTCCTGAAATAATTGAATAGGCTTTTTAAGACGATTTGTCCCGAAAGCGGAGTTGAAGTCTTAGCTCGGCAAACCGGGACTTGAATTCATCATGTGATCGCCCCCTAGCTTATTGTATCTGTATAAGTGCCTGATTAGCTTGACAGGATCAACTCAGTTTAGTTATGTTCAAGTTTTATCTGAGCTAATAAAAACGCACATTTTCTCGCATTTCTATATTGTACTGTATCGGTTACTCGCCCGGTGTAGAGGTGTCCCGAGAATGCTAGTGGTAAAAAGTTGTCTTCCGCGTTGGACTTCGTTTCGCACTGACTTTGTATCTCTTGTTTTGCGAGGCAAGAAAGTAGAAAAAGGCCGTAGTTGAAATGAATAGTCACAACATCTGTTGAGAAGAACGTTTGAGATGTTGAGACAATGCTGGGTTAAATAGACAAAACATTCCTTAAACAAAAATGGATACATTCCAAGAAGTGTATTAGAAGAGAGCCCACCTTGATTAGGGGTAGGGGCACTGTGAGACTCGCTATAAATTTGGTAAAAATTATTTTATTAAATATTTCGAGTTCATCTGAAAGCTTGCATTGTTGGAGAACCAGCAGCAATTGTTGTTATCTCCTAATTCTCTAGCAGTATGCAAATGAAAAACCGACCGTTTTGTGGTCTAGGTGAGAGGAGGGATACATAAAGACACCAGCATTTTTAGCCAAGTGTTGGGTCCTGTTTGCGTAAAAAAGCCTCAACATGTCAAAAACAAAAGGAATGTTGTGACAAAGTTCTGCGTGTGACAGTTAGACACCCCCTCGCAACGTACAGGGGTGGCACTGTAGAAAACTTTAAAATCAAGTTTACGACAAACGTCAATTTGAGCCCCTTACACGCAAGTTTTCCCTTTACATCACATATACTAGTCGTTTACTGTTCATTACTCTCCACAAACATACCGAAGTAGTTTCATGACATGTTCATCGATGTGAGGGTAATTTTGGATATGCAGTTTTTATCGGCTCATCTCCTAATTTGAGAAATTGCCAACTTGAATCTGATGTTTTCGGTGAAAGTGATTCTAAACCTTTCTGGTAAAACCGAGACGCCGAGACCAGCATCAAAATATTCGAGACTACGTAGCTTTCTGGCATCTCTACCACATCGGTGAAGACTCCGGGTTCTCTTCTAGTGAATTTTCCCTTTTTATGGCGTTACCGTCGGAATTTACCTTAATTCTGCATGAACCGTATAAAAAGTCGCATCAGGAGCTGCTGTATTGAGGTTTGAAATCGGCATGAAAAGGGGTTCAGGAATGCGCGAAGACTGCGAAGCAATGAGCTGAGATGAATGAAACCCGGGGGGTACTCACTAAGATGGCCTATACAGGGAGGCTCCTTGCGAAAGGGGTAACTTCAGTTTCAGGGCTTCAGGTATTAAAAGGGTAGCAAAGTCTCTCATTTCGGTCTGTAAAATACCCAAAAGGCGGGATAACAGGTGCATTTTTTGCTGCAAGAAAAGTCGAGAAAACGTTCTGAGTTTGTGATTTTTTCATGTTTCAAAGACAGTGCATCAAAAGAGACAAGGGGTGCAAAGTTCCTAGCCTGCGAGCGGCAAGCTCTCCTGGGCACTCGGGCGGTGGGGCGGGAAAAGGAAGGAGAGCTTGCAACTACGTCTCTGCAATTTAAATAAATATCTGCATCGAAAAAGTCGATGCGAAATGCTGATTGGCGGAGTTGACACTTGCCGGTAGAGACCTAGCCTGCGATCATGGCCTCTCCCTTTATCTCTGTAATCTGTAATTTTTTTCCCTCTCGAGCCAAAGAAGCAAAAAAAAAATTACGCCTGATCTCAGGTTAGTAGAGACCCTGATCTTATAGAGTGCAATCTAAACCATGACCTTTCCAGCATTAGCGATTGGTTAGTGGCCAACAAACTGACACTAAACAAATCCAAAACTGAATTCATGGTGATTGGGTATCGGCAAAGGTTAAGGACTCTAGCTTGACCGATCTCCTGCTCTTGCAATTGATACTTTCCCAATCTCTCAAGTTGCCTCTACCAAATCTCTTGGGGTCCACGTCGACGCGCATCTTTCCTCGATTACACACATTACTAAAATCTCTGAAAAAGTAGCCTCGGGCATTGGTGCCCTAAAGCGCTATCGTCCTTTCGTTCCTCCGGAAACCTTAATTTGAGCGTACAATTCGATTATCCAGCCACACTTTGGTTATTGTGACATAACGTGGAATAACTGCTGGGCAACCGAATTGACCACTCCAGAAATACCATAATATACCATAATGCTCTTTGTTTCTCACCCCAAAATCTGAAAACAATGCTTATGCAAATTTTTGGGGTGACAAACAAAGAGCATTATGGTATGTTATCGTATTTCGCTGCCAGGATTTTGAATTACTCTGACTAGTTAAATTGGACTCAACTTGCTCGTCGACGAGAACTCCACACAGTAAACATGGTTTACAAATATACTCACGGTTTAGCGCCTGAATATTTACAGGATAGATTTGTTTCGAATTATTTCTTAAGAGATTCCTCTAATAAATTTTATGTCCCTCTCACCCCGCACCAATTATCTTAAAAATGGTTTTCGTTATAGCGGGCGGTCTTATGGAACGGTTTGCCTTCGACTCTTCGACAAGCAGAATCCATACACACTTTTAAATCTGGCTGCAAGGAATTCTTCAAATAGTATAGACTAGGCATCCTTGGAAAGCAGGCTAACTTAATTTATATACTATTTATTATTTATTTATCATTTAATATTATATGTACATCTATTTTATATTCTATTTATTATCATATTATTATATAGGTTAGATCATAGGTTATATGTATATATTTCATAAGAATGGCTTTAGAATTTTATAACAGTTATATGCCTGATGTTTTTACCGAGTGTAAATAAAGTTACTTGACTTGACTTGACTTGTTGACATTAGTCACGACGTCATTACCCTTGGAACGTGTTTTTTCGATGTTTGTTTACCTTTACGCTCGTTTCACCCTCTCGTTGATTGGCGGAAATCTGACAGCCCAGTCGACGGAGAGCCATAGGGGAATTGAAAGTGGAATTCAAATTCCAGAGACGTAGTTGCAAGCTCTCTCCATGCTCTCCTTACCTTTCCCGCTCCACCGCCAGAGCGTGTGAAAGGGGTACCTTTTCGGTCAAAATTGGTATTTTAAAAAATATGTAAGGGGCTGGACCTCAGGGCAAAGCCTTCCCGTATAAAACTTTCTCAAGTACCCCCCGGGAACTAAAATCTCCGCCCCTGCATTGCGTGCCACATGCTCCGCCGCGGGTGATTCGGTGCGTGCATTCATGATTTATTCCCGGTTATCTTGTCTGACAAGCATTGGATTCGACGATATAGTTTGAAATTATTTTTCCTTACAATCCACTATTCAAGGAATTACTAGCTGGGCAATAATAGAGCAAAATAGCACTTTCCTGTTGTCTAAAGTATTTAAATTTAAAGTTTAATACTATTCTTCAACCAGGAAGTGATCTGATCCTTAGAAGTCCCCGGGTAGAAGTCTCCATTTTGTGGTCCTATAGTTTTTCGGTAACACCGCAACTAAACGTTGAAAAACACAGTAAACCAAGGCTTTATCGGAAAATTGAGAATTTGTTAGCAGCTTTCTAGATCTGCCAACGGATTCGAATTTTCCAATTTACCATCAAATTTCATTCTGTAGATAACATACCAAAGCGGGAAGTTTCATTCCAATGGTAACGTATCATGTTACTTTGTCCACACAGTTTTGATGATTGCTGGAAGGAATGTCCGCTTAAAGAATTGTTCATACTTTTTTAAACCTTAAGACCACAGTAATAAAGCAACGAATATGACTGGCAGACTGACAAATAAATGAAAAATATGAAAAGGAGAATAAAATATGCATTTCATTAGTGTTGTGACCACGATTTTTGTAGTGTTGCAGGCTGGTGTTAGCAATGTAATTCATTCCTTCGAGTCGTTGCCGATCGCGCGTCTCGTCTATTTTCTTCGTACAAAATTGTCGGTATAAGCTTAGCCCGTAAGGTTACGATAATTCAAATTCACAACAACCTGAGGCCGAGGCAAAAAGTGCCCCCGATTCCTTTGATTTTTTTATGAGTAAATAATTTAATATACAAAAAACGATCGGATTTTAATTGCCTTCAATTTGTATGACACATGATGAGATACATTTGATGCTAATCAACTGTGAACTGTGGAAAGATACATGAAAGCGGCCAACCAGGTAACAATTTTCACAGCTTTAAAAGTAACAAGAAGGGCTTCAAAAGATGCAGCGTATTTTTATGATCATCGACTTAAATTTTTTAAAAAATAACTTCAAATGAACAAATAATTTTCACACAATGCTGTATAGACTAGTAACGCATTCTCCATGGAAACGATAATCCGGTCACGCATAAATTAAATGACATTACTCAACTCGACATTTCTCAGCTCAGGCTGAGAATGTTTGATTGGCTGGAACGAAGTTGTGATTATTCCTTCCTTTGAGTGAAATGGGGCAGAAAAATTCCAAACTAAAACCAGAACTGGTTCGAGAGCTTGTTCATAAGACATACTGTAAGTCTTTCTTATTTATCTACTCTGAGTGAATGGATATAACGAATCCTCGCTGACAGACATCAGATCGTCAAACAGCTTTCTTAAGATTTCTCTAGGCTCAATAATTTGCATTACTTCGACCTTGTGCGCTGAATTGTAATATTACTAAGTGTCCTTATTAACTCGATTATTCCTCCCCATTTTGTTTTTTCCTTAGTCAATGAGAAGGAACTCCAGCAATGGTGAGTTTTAAGCATGCAGATGGTTCTAATTAAATTCATGAGCTGCTGCCAAAAGTGCTTACGGATTTGTGATCCGATTGTCTCCCTCAGGTACAAAGGATTCCTAAAAGACTGCCCGTCAGGAAACCTTAATGAATTAGTAAGTAAAAGTCACACCACGTTTAAATGTCTTGGCAAAAATATTTCAGTATTGAAATTAACATGTTTTTCTTTCTACATGTACATGTCTATGGATCTTGACGGAATCTGCCAATTAACAATTATATCGACTAGAGTGCAATTAAATTAAGCCTTGCGGCTATTCTAATATATGAATGTTATTCTTTCTTTCTTTTTTTTCGCAATAGGAGTTTCAGAAAATATACAAACAGTTCTTTCCCTATGGTGACCCTTCAAAGTTCGCTTCTTTTGTCTTTAACGTGTTTGATGAAAATAAAGTAAGTACGTACTGTATAGACTGTATAAAGCTAAAATATAACTTGTGTACTGTATATAATTCGTGGCAGTGTATTTGATTACGCTCAAAATAGCGACTTTTAAAGAGAGAATTTAGCGTTAAAATGTCGCAAAAGAAGAGCGTTAAAAGCCATGGTTGTCATTAAGTACACACGATCATCGCTGGCAAGCGATGGTCTAGATTGGCAGACTAGCAGCTTTTATTAAAGGAAATAATTCGCGGAAAAACCGCCCGCTATTACCAAAATGTGACTGAAATTAAGCAGAAAAATTTCTCAAACATCCCGCAACACGAAGACTTCAATGGATAATCGCTAGTAAATTAATTATGTTACATGTTAGTTCGAATGTATAAATTTTACTCCGCAGACCGCCGCGATTAGAAATTCTTTTCCGTGATGTTCTCGTCGTCTGCACCTACCTTGTCTCATATTACAAATGTTTTAGTTTATTCGAACTACAGTTTTTCTGCCTCTAAAAAGGTATCTAATCCAAAATTTTTACTTGCAGAAAATGACATGTTTATAACTGGCATATGGACTTATAAACGCCAGATTATTTGAGTTCGTGGAAATATAATTTCGAAGGAGAGATTAAATTAATTGACTCTCAGTCTAATATATAAAAAAACGTTACAAATTTCTCGTCTGATATTATGAAATGGTTATTCTGGTGTGTCAAGAATCTACATCACGTACATGGTCTGATCAGCTTCACAATTAATTAATACGACAGTGAAACAATGTCGCGGTGACAAAATAATATTTTTTAATTAAGTTATGTCTAAATTTCAAGAACACTTATATTTCTAATTTTCTTTCGATTTTCGTGTCGATATGAAGGTGCTTTTAGACGACAGTATAAAATCACCGGACATTTATAGACCTTCAAACGGGAATCAGACATAGAATGAAACGTGTGAAGCAACCAAACAAATTTTATGATATGATTATTGCCCTGTACTATGAAAAAAATTACAGTTAAATTTAATTCAATGCATTCTTTTTAATAAAAGGTAAAATGAGGTTCTGCAGTTTTAAGAACAGTTATCACTCTAAGAAATAAATTATTGAACATGACTTTTGGTAGGGTTAATAATTATTAGCTTTATTTCTAACATGACGAGGACGGAATTGGCCAACTACATTATGTGGAATTTAATTTTTTTTTTTTACAGATTGTGAATTTAAAACACATGTATGGGCATGGGTGTGGTGTGGGATCAAAGAAATGCCCCTTGTAAAATGGTTTTAGGAATGGTTATATCCTGACAAGAAGTTACTCAAAAAAGTTTTATAATGGGAGCCTCCACCCCAAGGTCCAACCCCTTCCCCTTTATATATCGCTTTTGACAGAAAAAGGTACCCTTTCCGCATACCTGTTTATTTTGAAAAATGGTACCCTTTTCACATACCTAGTTTAGAATTTTGCATCCTTTACAACTGATGTAAATGTATTCTCCTTAATCTAAATATGAATAAATCTTAAAACCAGAACGTTTTCTCAACTTTTTTTTCACCGCCATAAAATGCAACTGTTAGCAGTTTCCGGCCTTTTTACAGACTGAAATGACAGATTTCCCTGCTCCTTAATATATCAAAAAGGTATGGGCCATTACATTGAGTACCCCTCCCCCATGTGGGGTTATACTCAGCAACCTTTTCAGAAGCCTTGACCATCGGGTTTGTTGTATACACATCTAGATTATTTTTCTTGCGCTGGTCAGGATTGCAGCCATTTATACCTCACTGTTAACATTTTAAAACAACAGTCAGTAAGAAGTTATTGATCTCTGTGACTTTGTGTACAGGATGGGACCATTGAATTCAAAGAGTTCATCTGTGCTTTATCAGTAACTTCGAGAGGGAGTATTGATGAAAAGCTAAAATGTAAGTAATACAAAAAACTGGGCATCAGTCATTTATTTCACTCTAGAATTTAATTTATAATCCATCCTGAGCAAGATGTGAAGTCAGTATATCCCTGTCAGGGTGATCAGTCACTCAACAAGTGACATCATGGCCTTGAAACAACAAAACAGAACAATGAAATGGAGACAAAAAAGACTGCAGGTGGATTGAATCTGCGACAGAGAGAATCATTATACAACATCATTATTACAAGAATCTATATACATGTAGCAACATACCTAAGGGGTACTCAACAATAAAAGTAAATTATAAGAGGCTAATATAATGGAGATGTGCCGCTGGATTGGGTTTGCATTTTCATGACCAGATTGACTATAATGGGGTCACATTTTCAATAGAGTTACTAGAATGGGGTCACACATTTTCGGATTTTTGGGGGTAATGCAGGTCTTCATATTTACAGTTAGCAAATGTAACAGAATGTTTGTGGTGTTAATGAAAAGTAAAGTGTTCTTCATTCAATCTAAAAATGGCTCAACTCATAAAAATAGAAGGTGACTAAGTTGGGATTGCAAAAATTACATATTTGCCCAAGTGACTTAGATGGGGTCTATAATAAGAATCGACTATAATGGGGTAGGGGCTCTGAGAGGCCAGGGAGACATACCCGCGAAAAATTAACCCAAGTACCTGCCCCCGGTTCCCCAAGGACCAACTCCTTTCCCTTTTATATACCATTTTTGACAGAAAAGGTACCCTTTGCGTAGACCTTTCATGACAAATAGTACCCTTTCACATACCTAGTTTAGAACTCTGCATCCCTTTTAACACTGTAAAATTAGTAATTTATGCACTTTTTTCTAAATAAGAATAAATCACAAAGCTAGAAAATTTTCCCATCTTTTCACAACTATAAACTCCTTGTCTAGCTCTTTAAGACCATTTTACAGACTGCAATGACAGATTTCCCTACCCTCCCTCCCCTCTCATATACTTCAACTAATTAAATCCCTACCCTTTCATATACCTGAAGCCTGAAAGAGGTACTCCTTTCAAGTAGAGTCTCCCCATATAGGCCATCACATGGAGTAACACCCCCCAACCCGGGCAACAAACATTATAATTATATTAACTAATTCATTAACATACCTGATGGTATTAAGTAACAGTACATACATCTATATCTATCAATTTCCTGCAGGGGCATTTAAACTGTATGACCTGGATGATGATGGCTACATAACAAAGGCAGAAATGCTTCATATAGTTGATTCCATTTACAAGATGGTGGTATGTTATATTTTACATGTTTTTTAATTTACCTTTTCCCACAAAGAAAGTAGAAAGTTTGGCTACAAATACATCATACGTGTGAACACAAGGGCAAATCCAGGAATTTGTTCTTGGGGGGGTCCAAACTTTGGTTCAGAAAGGACTGTTGAACTTTTTTGTAGGAAATTACTTCTCCTCCACACCCTCCACACCATAGAAAGAGGTTATCAGCCAAGTTGTCGCCATAATTGTCTGGCCACGTGTTTCTCAATCTGTGAACCCTGACTTGCAATTGGTGCAGGGAATACTGCTTTGCAAGCAGAGGTGAACAGATCATAGAAGGGTACCCAAAAACAATTACATTTTTTAATATCCCTGGAATTTAGTTTAGTGGCAAAATGCAATGCGTGTTTTATTAGCAAATATCAGCCAGTTAAAAAGTGATATACAATCCTGTCAATGTAAAACTTTCAGTCTCAAACAAGCGTCAGGTCTGATAGGGAGGTGTGGGCTTTGAGTGGCTTTGTCAGAAGCATGAGCAATAGAAGCCAGAGCAGTAAGACAAAACCTGCCAAGGAACTCTGGCCACTCAAGTTTGGCCTCATTTACATGCAATCTTTCCAATCGAATAACTCACCAAAGAGGATTTTGCTAATGACATATATAATACTTAAATACAACTAGATGTTCTTTTAATTAATGACCTCTTGGCAATCATCTCCAAAACATGTCAAGTAATTAAGCAGCCACCTACCTACTTGAATTGATTAGTTTAATATACCTAGTAAATATACCGGCCTGGAAATGAGGTTGCTTGCTCATGTACAACTAGATTGACATCAACCATTAGAGCCTTTTAAAACTGTGAACACTGGCAGCTTGGGTCACTCTAGATATTTCTCAGAATGGACCACTGATGATAACCATAACTGGTGAAACCACATGAATGTTAAAGAATAATGATATCACAGGAAGTGCTGGTTTTTTATGGTTGTCCAGTATTTAACTGTTTAACAATTATTCCTCGAGCCCGAATGGGCTCTACGTGTCATCAATAGCACATGAGGCTGAAGGCTGAATGGGCTATTGACTCAGAGGCCATGAGGGTGAGAGGAATAATTGTTTTAGGAAAACCCAACTAGTTGGTCAAAGATATCGAGAATAAAGAACTTTTAGCTAGTTAAAGCTAGACTTTAATCCTTTTTTGCCGCCAAAAAGCACGTGCTTTTCGCTACTAGGGGGCTATAACATATAGCCTAGTAGTAGCTCAACCAATCAGAACACAGCATTGATAATAGACCACTAGCTGGATTTTACTAAAATTTAATATTATTATTTTCATCAAAGGCCAGTATGGTTAAATTGCCAGAGGATGAGGACACACCCGAGAAGAGAGTCAACCGAATATTTAGTCAAATGGACACTGTAAGTCACGATACTTACTGCACCTTTCCCTTTAATGATGTCAAACCGAGGGCTATTAATGAATTGCACAGTGACAGCAGACAGTGGCACTCAAACATTTGGTATTATCCATTAATTAGACACCAACAACAACAACAACGACAAAAAGTAGAAATAACTATTTCAAGGCTAGCTCAATATTTATTGGCAGAAATCTTGCCTGAGAAGTAGGATGTCAATAATTATACATACCACTGGATCTCCAAATTGATTTTATAATCTCTGATCGAGGAGGAATAAGACACTTTCTTTGCCTCGCAAACAGCTTGAACTACACATAGCTCAGATGACTAAATAGAAATAAACGTTCTGTCTTCAGTAGCAGCCTAATTTAGTGTCCTTAATGATGAGACAAAAAGCCGAAGTTCAAATTTTGATGCCTGATTGATTCACAAAATCAGCTGTTGTTAAACAACACATTGTTGATTCACTTGAGGAGGTTTAATTACTGGTTTTTTTGGTCTTCCATACATTCCCTGTTCAAGAACTTGTTGGGACCTTGTACTGAGAAAATTTTCCTCCAGGGAATGGGTCTCATACATGTAGATCCCTGCAGCAGAGGACTGGTCCACAGTTTTTATGTCCATGAAGAGGGATGATGTCAGCAGGGTTATTTACTTCCATGGCTTAAGTTTATCTTGCTTGGTTTTAAAAGCAGTTGAAAGTGCCAAAAAGTATGTTACTGGATGTGACCAACAGTGATCTCAGTTTTCTGTTGTGGAAAAAGGGACTGAGGCATGGATGACAGTTGCCAGCTCAGCTGCTGTCTGTGATAAAGGTTTTATCCCTGTTTGACCGGCCAGTATAAGAAATTTTACAATGTTTTTTTTCTTTAAGAGGCCAGCTTTTTTCCATTTTAGAATGAAGATGGCAAGTTGTCAGAGGAAGAGTTCCGTGAAGGCTCAAAGTCAGATCCATCCATTGTACAAGCATTGTCACTTTATGATGGACTAGTATAATGTAATATTATAAACTGCTTCAGAGACTAAAAATCCTGCCATCAGCAACACAGAGGATGATGCATTCAAAGGCTGGGCCAGCAGGTTTCATCATCACATTCTTCCTTTCTTATCTGAACAAAAGCAAAATTCCAGTTGATGCATTATAAACACAAGTAATTGCACAACTTGATCAAAATGATGTTTGTGGAAAACTGTTTGCATACATGTACATTGTATGGTTAAACAGTATCATAAAATAGACTTATAGAGCAATGCAAAAATTTAAGAGCATAATTAATTAACAATAATAATAATCATTAAGATGTAATAACTACTCAATACAGTGTAGTTAATTACGTAGTCCGGTTTAAAAATCTCCACTTATAGCAACAGGATCTATTGTTCTCAGAATTTTTAAACTTGGGTAAGTTAGTACTAAGACATTTACACTGATAAGGCCAACTATTAACTGTCCTAAGGGCTTTTGGAAATGTCACTTTTTTTAAAAGTTCAGTAATTCTCCCTTTATCCCAAATCGAATTTACTATAACTTATTTGGGTTCTGTACAGCAGGGCTTAGAATTTGCAAAAAAAGAGAGAACACTCCTTTTTTGTTGATGTGGAAAATGATTATAAAAGGGAAAAGTCTCTGTCTTTTTCTGTTATTATCTTCTACAATATTATTATTTTATTTGAGGTAAACACTTGCATACAGGTCACTGTGCCCTTGCCTCTTGCTTGCATAAAGCTTCTTTATGACAGTAATTATCAAACAAATGAAAATACAAATTACACCACAACACAGACATTCAGTGGCTATAAATAAATATTATTGTCTAGTTCAAGAAGTACAATCAAATCCCCATGCATTAATTAAGAAGGTTATAATTCTATTTATTTTGTTAAACATGTCTTATTTATCTACAAAGGAAAGACCCGCAGGTTTCTGTATTTTGGTGACAAATTAGCATGATGGGGTTGTATTTACTTATAACTGTAATTCCATTTACACCAAAATGTAGCAAAACAGTCAGGTAAATAAGGAAATCAAAGTTGCCTCAAGGATAATACACCTGTGATCATTATAACTGCAGTCATCTCTGTCAAAAGTAGTTGATCTTCTGTGATTAATTACAGCAGCCTCTTGAGAATACTTGCTGCTGGAGACATACAGCATATCTCGGCAGAGAAGTCTAAGTTTTGACCTGAACAATCCAATACTGACTAAGTACCGTAAATCAGTGTTTAGCTTAGTTTAGTTTTTTCTTTAGCTTTGACCATGCGACTGTTATTTCCTGAATAATACGATCCACAATAGCCTCTTACCTACTACAGTCTGTATACAGCCGCCACTAAGCAACAAGTGGAGAGATGTTTGGAATGCTTAAAATCACACAGTCTACTTACGTCTGAAGGTTACTGTTGTAACTGATACATGCAAAATAAACAGGCCTGCATAGTTGAGTTGATTAGAAAATGTGTACAGGTACCAGAACTGTGGTGTAACAGATCTCTACTAGAATGTCTCATTTTCTACCCTCTAATAGATTAAGGATCAATGATGTCATAAAATTAATGTTCAGACCACAGCAACATAACAGAAGTGTAAAAATTGTGGTCAATTCGTTTTTTTCTCTTTCGTCAAAAAAGCTTCAAGAAAAATAAATAATGGCTCTCAACCAACAAATGTGAGAGAACTTCCACAATTCTTGTTTAAAATGGTTAGTACTGTGCCTGTACACATAGCTAGACTATCAAGGAGTGTTATGGAAAGTCTACACAGGAGTATTTAACTCAACAACAGATTGTTGTAATATATTTTATTAGAAAAAATTATGTAAATAATATTATTGAAGCTGTTAATATAATTCAGTGGTAAACATTTTTCATTGTCTATCATTGAGGAATTTTTTTCAATATTATAATAGGTTATACAAAAATAAAAATTGCCAGTTCATGTTTATGTTTATTTGTTGTTGTTGTTTTTTGTTGTTGTTGCTTTTTTTTGGTTTTGCTTTATTTTGTTTTGTTTTTTTCTCAAGTGTTATTGTGATACCTTTTTTTACTTACGTTCTTGACTTTAATTTTAAATGATGCCGTATCATACCAAGGATTATGTTTCAATCTTTGGTCAAAGTTTACATTTGCAAATCAAAATTAAGCGAAGAAGCTCTTCTCTTCCCACATTTTGTAACATTAATAAAATCAAACTCAGATACCATAAAAAAGCAAGAAAAATACCTCTGCGGTGTTTTCTGTTCCTTCAACAAAAATAGTTAAGATTTATTTCAGCTAGTAATATCCTATGTAATATGATATGTAATCATGCACCCTCCTTTCTGTTGCATTTTTGTTAGTAAATTTTATAGAGCGTGAAAGAAGGGCACGCAAAGTGTTCACTGCTACATGTACATATAATTTCAAATATAGCTTCATGCAACTATAAACCACAGTAATACATACAGTGTACAATGCATGTAAAATTTTCATGATCTGGTTTCAACGATATTTTTTTGACAGTTTAGTGTAGCACTTGAATGTGCGTTGTTCAATTGTGAGCTTATGGAAAACCAAGGTTTCCACAGCTCTTCTTTTCTCCATTTGTGTGCTCACACACATCCTTTTTACAGACAAGTTGGAGCTATGCCAAGCCGACCATGCAGCCCAACCTTTATCAACACTATAAATCATTAGTGTTACAGCACCAAAAGAGAGCTAACAACATAGCTGAAACTGAGCCTAGATACAATAGATTAACATACATAAATAACCGGAACTCAGGCACTACTTCAAATCCTACAACCCAAAAAACACATGGAGGGTGGGTGGGCGGGGAAGGTCAGGCAATAGCAGAAGGCAACAGAAACAACTGAACTCTGAAATGCCATGTGACCTGAAGACCCCTCGCACACTAGAACCCATACTCCCAGCTGTGTGTGAGGAAGACGTTTTCCGCATCTTTCATAATCATTCCTCAACCAGCGGAAAACTACACTTATAATATTCTCCCTTCCCCTAAAATAATCTGACGCCTACTTTGCTGACCAACAAAATACCTGCCAATAACCCAGTTTAATTCATTAAGCTAATATACTGTAGTTCAGATACTGGGATTCATTGTATTATACTTGTTCTACTACCCATAGATACATGTATAGCCTGAGAAAACAGCCAACATTTCATGACAACTGGATCACTGGTTTCCCCACAAAAGGGTAGAAATTCCAGACTGATAACATGCCCGGGGGGGCACTCCCCTATATGGGCTAATATAGGTACGTGCCGCAGAATAGGGTATGGTTTTTGACCCTTTTGTTTCTGTGTCCCTGGTGTGGTCATTAGATAGGGTAGCTTAATTGTATTATCTAATACCGGAGTGTGAAAACGCCCGCCTAAACTAACGGTTTTTTTAAAACTTGATGTATCTGTTTAAGTATAAACAAAATGATTTTGCAACAGAGGTTTAATAGCCATTGAATAGGGTGTCATTTTCCGGCTTTGGGCCTTAAAAAGGGTTAGGGTTCACGAACCTTCGCGGCACACCTCTATCCAAAATTTGGAAGTACCGCCCCCCCCCCAGGATAACGTGTCACTAGCCAGATAAAGGTAGGGCACATCTTCAGTATGCAATTTCCGTGCTTGTTTCTCAGACCTCCTTTTGTGACTGGGGAAACCAGTTGTGGCATCAAGAAATTTCAGCTGCTTATTCAGGCTAGTCGATACAATGTAAAAAATGATGCCAGAAAAAATAAGAACAACAACTAACCTGTACGGTGGCTCAAGTTGTTCACTGATTCTGTTGACTGTCTGTAAACTGAAGAAAAAGCAGCTGGAGTTGAACATACACGTAATAATACCACAGTAAAGAAATTAACTGGATGTTTTCAAAATTAAATTTTTGTCTTGTCTTTGTTTCCTTTGCTTTCAACAAAAGTTGAGTTTTCCAGGAAATGTAAGCAATGCAATGTGGGCATTCACAGAGACTAGGAAAGAGGCCTATTCAAAGAAAAAAGATAGTAATAAAATTAACCAATTAATTATATTTCAACTGAAAAAAATCCTGATTTTAATGCTAATTTACATTAACCATAATTATATCATATTCTTATATTAATTTTATAATATTTAATTTCTCTAGGAACAGATTGGTCATACCTATGTTGAATGTCCCCAAACCTTGAAATAGAAAAAAAAACTTCCATTAACCTGGATGATCAAGCACATCCACAGAATGGTTTTCAATAGATCTCAAAGTAGATTCATCATGCCACCATCAAGCTCAAAAAGTGGAAAATCAATGAGCAGTAACACCAGTTATGGTATATTACATCTGATTTTCTAAGTTTTTTTTCAACAAAGAACAAAGACAAACAATGCAAACAAAAAGAACTTCTTTCAAATGAATGATCCCTGTAAGTGTTCTTGGTAAAAAAAAAATACTGACTGAACTAGAGCATTTTAACTAACGGACAGTTTAATTGTGTGTTAACACAAACAAAGACCTTGGTAATGGTAATTATCATGATGGGTAAACTGAAGTTAGTTGTGAGTATAACTCTTCATACAACAAAATACACAGTCGCATTAATTTTTTTGCATACATGTTTCCTTCTGTAAGTGAAGACATTCAAATAACATGCTCAATGACAATAATAAGTTATAATATTAATATTAAACAGAGTAATTTGACATTGTCTTACTGTTTTTGCATGTCTGTGATGACCTTTTCACAGTGTTTCAGTTGCTGAAAAAGAAAAAATTATTATGTCAACATTTACCTATGCATCTTTTAATAATAACGACTGTATCAGTATGTCAGCGTCGACCACCTTGACAATGAATTACCGTCCCTCAAGTATCCATTTAACAGATTTGACATTCAACCTATATTAAAAAATTTCTAGTCTTGCAATAGGGATGCCATCACGCAAGACCTCTAGCTAAATAAAATAAAATTAAGTTAACAATAATGATAACAATGACAAAATCTCCTACAAAAGATAAAATGAATAAAAATATCATAGTATTAATTAATGTACAATATTAAAATTCATCATTGACTAAAATGCTCAAATAAGACTTTTTTCAATCGATCTGCAGACTTAATGTTAACAATTTCACTTGGTAACACATTCCAGTCCTTGACAGTTCTACAAAAATAACTATTCTTTAAGTCTCAGTATTTGACAGCAGTTCAATACAGTTGTTCTGGCTACGGTTCCTTAAATGTCTTCTGCGCTTCATAACATAGTCTGGGAAAGCCAGGCGGCCATCACGATTAATTGCTTTGTGGAATAAGGTTAACCGCAAGATTGTTCTTCGTACCTTCAGCAGTATCCAGTTTAACTCTTTCAAGAGGTTGGTAACTGTTCCTGGCATATAACCACAAAAGGGGTACTCCCGATCTCAAATGATAGGAATGGGGCAAATGGGGGCAAAAAAAAATAACTAAAAAGAAAACCAAGGCAAAGGTTAAAAGTCAATTAAGTCCCCAGGGCTTCTAACAAAACCGAAAAAATCCCTTGACCAAAAGTTAACCCCAAAAACCCTATGCTGAATTGTACCCAGCCTAACGTAGAAAAGAATTTCTGTGACAACTATTTAGCCAGGTAATAAACCAGATGGGTGAGAAATCTACTGAATTGAAGTGTTGGATACACCCCAGGTTTGTATACAATGTAACTGGTTTAGTTGAAACAGTTGCAATTACAGGCTTGCATTTTGACTAGCTACTTGAAACAGCGAAATAGGTTATAAAGTACTGTATCTACAATAGTTTGAATTAATGTATTAAAACATTGTGATAACAGAAACTTGAATTATGCATCTAATAACCAATTCAAAGCTCATCTCTTTTAACAACTTTGATAATGATAATGATATCACCAACATTTCCTATTAAATGCTTTAACAAGCAATTGGCGATTTGATCTTATGCATAGATCACTTAATCATGTACATGTATGTTGATTGATATTTATCCTCTCAAAGATGGTTGATACATAATTTATGTAAGAATACCTCTTGTGAATTCATAAGTGCTCCTTCTTGACTTACAAACTGTTTTATAGTCTGAGTCAGGATCTACAGTAAATTTTAAAACAAACATTGTAAAGGTTAAGTGAAGCAATAATCTGTTTAAGTTGTCCAGGGATGTCACTCGCAGTAGATTTCAAGTTTCCATGTAAATACAACAAGAAGGTAAGGAATAAAACAGCTTGGGATTTTATTTGGTTCTATTTTTCTTCTACATGATTGTATTTTCCTGTGAAAGTAGCTGGGGGCCACATTCATAGTAGCCGGAGGAAATCCCCCAGTCCCAGAAATCCCCCAGTCCCAGAAATCCCCCAGTCCCCCACCTCTTTATGACAGCCCTGTTGTCCTTCAGCAGCATGATGTAATTAAAACATTAAAATGTTCAAATGAGGCCTTAAACTGCTGTCTGTTTTAAAAAATATAAAATTCAAGCCTTCGGTGATCAACAGCATGATCAGGTGATGATGCTGTTGATAGGCAAAAGCTTGGACAGCAGTTTAAGGCCACATTTGAACATTTTTAATCTTTTAATTACATGTAAATGAAGCAGCTTTAGGCACTGGCAGGGAAATGTTAAAAAGTCCATCCATCACAGAATCTTGGCTTGAGATAAATTACAAAGTTGATCAGTTTGCAACAATGTACAAATGAACACATTATCGTAAAATCCCTTTAAATGGCTTCATTTAAGAGGGCTTGTATAGAACCCGACCCACTGAGCAAGTGAGAACAGGTTACAAGTTGATGTAACTTGCCCAGCAAGAAAAACTACCAGTCCTGGATGGCATGCAGGACTTAAATCAAGCTTTACTGAGTTAAGCCACCAAACATTTTGTCATTTATTATAGCATCAAAGGAATGTCAAGTTGGTCACCTCCATCTTAGGTCACAAAAAAAATGCTTGTACAGTGTAAGTATTTCACACTTACTTAAAAAACAAAATTATAGGGAAAGTGCACGGGTGTCTAGAAAACTAACAGACCAAACTAACACCTCACACCCCCTCAAATCTGGAAATCTCAGACCTTGAAAGAGTTTTCTAGATGCTGCAAAGTACTGGGGTACTGTACAGTGTATTTACAACTCCCACAAAGACTACTTTGTTCTGACTGATAAAGTTTCTTTTATTTTGCTGGTAGAGGCAGAAGGGCCACGAGGCTTGGGATGGGTTACTTAAAGAAGACAAATACTTATGTCACCTAATATAGCCTAATTTATATCTGCCCCAAGCTGAGGCAAGAAGGATAAACCCAACAGCTGCAATATAACCAGGACTGAGGAGAGGACAGAGATGTCATGTATATCAATGATGTTGTCATTCAGGATCAGTGAAGAGGCTGGATAATGCTACTTTAAGACAGTGAACTTTCAGCTGTTGACACATTTTGGAAGAGCTAGCTGTAACTCCCTAGTACAGTCAAATCTCTCACTTCTCGTAGCAACCACCCCTCAACCACTTTGCAAAAATTAATAACCGTTTTGTTTCTCACTCGAACATTGTTTAAAAAGCTTTCTCACAAGCGACTGCCACCACTTTTAAGGCCAGAAATTTGACTTATTCCTTTGTTTTAAGTTTCTGGTAAGCGACCACATGGCACGATCACGTATGATTGTAAGAAAACCATGGCTGGGATGTCACAAAAGTTCAGTTTCTAATAGCGCTGACCCAGAGTGCTGACAAATACATCGTAGTAACAGTGTGAAAAAAAGAGAAGTTAACCGACTATCAGGATTGCGAATAGTTGTCCTTTGCAGCTGATTTGTACTCTTGTTGACCTGAGGCTCAAAACACAAAAGTAATCGAGCATTCAAGACTTCATGGAGAAGCTTTCGAATGGAATTAATTGATTGTAAATTGTAAATACTGTACAGTCTGAACTGGAGTGTAAGCAGTATATGCACCTTATGTTTCGCATTTATCCCATGTTTTGTTCGGTTAAAACTGAATTTAGGTGATTTATGATTAACAAGCGACAAATTTTAAACTGTATTGTACTTGTTGCTCGCAAGAAAAGCAAATTAGTTTCAGGCAGAGGAAACGCTGTCTACCAGCCTAATTTTAATTAATAGGCCATTTTATTGTGGACGTGGTCTCTTAGCCTTTGAGTGAACATGAGGCTGTGGTTGACCTTGTTTTGATACAAACCTCTGTCCTTTTCTTATGGAAATTATGCCTAAAGATACTACTTAGCATACGAACAACATGATTTACTTAATAAAGCAGGAAGGGTTGTATTAAAACAAGGTCAACTAGCTTATTTCGCTACGTCTTCCCATAAGCGACCACCTTCCGTAAGCGACTACTTTTCTGCGCACCAAGGGTGGTCGCTTGCGAGAGAGTTTGCTGTAGCTATTACTCGAGGATTGGTAAACTGCAGCCTCCCTTAGCTTTAATTTCCGGGCTCCCTTTACGATTACAAACAGCATAACGAAATATTTTAAAAGTTTACCTCGTGGGAACGCGAGCTTTTTAACAGCTGCTGAGCTAACTTTCCTGTTTCCGTAACATTCACTTGAACCTTTTCCATCAAACGCTCCCTAAACTCGCTATTTGAACGCACACGACTCGAAGGATCCGCCGCCATCTTGGATTATTGGTTTCCAGGGCTCCCTCTTGCGTTGCCTGGCAATCGTCAGGGAGGGGAGGGGGGAGCGATAGCGATAGGTCTAGGGCGCTTTCCATTTAGTCAAAATTTCCGGAATTTCCGGTTCGGCGGTAAATGGAACACATTTCGTCGGCTCATCTCACTGGAAAATTCCCAGAAAAAGTGGAAAATCTGAAAGGGTGGACCCGTTTTCCCGGTTGGAATTTCCGAACGGAATGTCGTGTTCTCGTAGTTTGTACTAGTTCCAGGTCCACCGTCGGGCACCGCGACGTACCGGGGTTTACGACCAAATGGAACAACTTTTTACCAATCGGAAATTCCACTTTTGCTCCCAACGAAATTTCCGGGTTTTCTTCCTAAATGGAAAGGGCCCCTATTTAGCCTTGCCTTGGTTGTTCAAAATATGGATATTCCCATCCGATGGATAAATCTCTATCAAGTGGATAACGCAATTGGTTTCCCTAGTACTTATCCGCTGGGTGGATAGCGCTATTCAGCTTTTTAACAACTGGGGCCAGGCTTCACTGTCCCTTAGAAAAAGAGTGAGAAAACAACCACAACAACAGTTTATATATTATTGCGGGCGACAAGAGGAGCCCGCAAACATAATCTCCAGATTGTTATTACGCATTCGTCGCATGTATGTAGCCAGCTTTCGTTTGGACTTCCACTAAGAATAAATGGAATGCATAGAACGCAATTTGGTCACCCATGTCGTGACCATCTGTAACATAAAACTAAGGCAAAGCACAGCGTTGGAGCAAAAGCGTTTTGACCTTCGATCGTTGTCGCCTGCATTAACTGCATTCCGTAACATTTGGTATTACGCATGCGTGGCATGTTTTTATTGGACTTCCACTAAGAATGAATGGAATGCACACTGAAACAATTTGATCACTCGCGTTTGGACCTTCGATCATCGTTCAGAGCAAGAGAACCTCATCTAGGATATGCAAGAACAGTATGGGATCCATGGATGGATAAGCATTTAAGGCAAAAAGAAGCTGTACAGCGCCCGGCGATCGGCACGATTCGTAAAAAAACTTGTTGGGAGCGAACTCCTGGAACTGTCATAAATTTACTGAATGATCTGGATTGGCCCCCTCTACAAGACCGAAGGAAAATTGCTGGTCTCACACTTTTTCATAAGGTTGTCCATTGAATTATCTCTTAAGTTATTTTGTTGTTATTTATTTTTGTTTACTTTCTTCTTTGAATTTTAACACTATGTAAATATTAATATTTATTAGTTTATTTTAATGTCTAGCAATGATATGCAGATGTAGATGTAGCGTTTTGACCTTCGATGGTTGTCGCCCGCACTCCGTAACCTTTGGTTATTACTAGTTATGTATTTCCATGCGTATTACATGGCAAGATGGTAACAATTATTTCACATCAACAGGGAATGGCCAAATATCGACAAGGTGATGACCTTCTGGGCATGTTGGCTCGCGCACGACAAATCTAATTTGTGTACTGGATAGTGGGGGAATTTGGAGAGACAAAAGCCGTTTATCGGGTCGTACAATAGTTTGTCAGTTTGTCGTAGGAGCCCATGTGATGAGCTCCTGGTGATCCTGGCTCTAAGGAAATTGCTGAAGCATGTCCAGCGAAATTGCTGTAAATGCAGACTTTCGATTTTTACATCAATTTTTTTCCTAAAAAATAGACGATCGACGAGCAGGTGCAATTTTTGGTGATGATTTTCGGCCAAAAATTGGCTTTTTGGTCTTTACTGCCAAACGAACGAGGATATGAAGTAAAAATTGGAAGTTGCTGTTGGTTTCTTTGCCTTCATAACTGCAAAATCTACGATTTAGTACTTTGAATAAATGTCCAAAAGGTTGTAACTAAAGTAAGACAAGAAGAAAATTGTTAACGCATGTACAGTATATTACTCATATAATTATGCGTTGTTAGGCTTAAAAGGGGTAAAGTGTAGATGAAGGCATGTGTGGCTCGGCGAGCGGTTAACACCTCAAACTCCGGATCTGGAGGTCTGGGGTTCAAGCCTCGCCCGTCGCGTTGTTTCCATAGACAAGGAACATCACTCCACTTTGTCTCTCTTCACCCAGTTGTTTAAATGGGTATGCGATGGACTAGAATCTCATTCAGGTGGGAGTAGCAATACTCCTCCATGCTGAGGAAATCGGGATAGGTCCGGCCGTTTGGGCCTTTGGAACGTCGTGTGCGCCTTTGTTCTTTTAATTTTAAAGTAGCCTGAGTGGCTGGCGTCGAAAGGGCAGAGGCTACAGGGAAGGAAAGAAAAGGGAAGGGGATTGGGGAGAGAAGGAAAGAGGCTCCCTCTTCTCAGGTCCTTTTCCTTCCGCACTTTCCCCCACCCTCCCCTCCCCTCTTCTGCGCCTGTCTCGCTGGTTTTGAAATGCAGTGAGACGGGAGTGGGATTGCTGAGTTGATGGTGGTTTAAGACCTCTAAATCGTTCATTTAGGTGACGTTTAGTCTCTCCGATATACTGGCATTTGCATTTATTATTATATTCGATCAAATAAATAAGATTTTTTGATTTGCAAGAAATGTTTTCAATAATTTTTTGTTGTCCATTAGTTGTAACAAGAAAGAAACCGCTAGCGTGTGTGAGTCTTTTATTTCTTTAGTCTTAATCTTCGAACTCGACAACAAATAAATAAAATTTATAAATTTACAGGAGTAGACTGATACCACGCTTGAAAAGTATCGGCGTCTATTGCTTCAGTTATTAAAAATTACCATTAAAATGTAATAAAAACAACCTAAAATGTTTTTAACCGTCGATACCAAATAAAACAAATGTAGATTTTCTGCTACTTGACAACTTCTTTTTGGGCTCTTTAAACTTTCATGATTGTATTATATAAGCCCTGTTTGTCTCGTTTTTCATCCAGGTAGATGAGACCTACAACAGAGAATTAACAAATGCCAGTATTACAACAACGAAGTTTTTGCTGATCACCACTTTTTACTGTATCCGGGTTACTCATGAAAAAACTAAGGTGAGGCGGCTCAGCAAGATTCCCGAAACCCTTACCCTATTTTAAACCGAAATATCTGATCTTTGCTACTCAATCTAAGACAAGAACCCCTGCGTTTTGGGAAATTCAAAATTAAATGTTTCGGACGTTCATTAGCCCAAATTACTACTTTTGGGAAGGTTCACTGATTTACCTTCAAAAGGAAGGCTGAGAGACCGAAGAAAGCACTTTTCGGGTTCCCAGGTTCCACGGGGATCACGAACTTGTACCCTATTTCAGACCCAAACGGTTAAATTCCAGACCCGCTTTTGACTTTAAAGAGGTTAGTAGTTTTCATTGTAGCCCAAAAGGTTAAGAATCCCAACTGGCCGAAAGAGCTCTACATTCATCAAGAGATTAGTTCGAAGTGCGATAAATTAATGTCGTAATAGCCCTTTTTTCTTTATCTCATGAATAAAATACTAAAGAATTTTATTAAAGATAATTAGGCAAGTTATTTTTCCTTCCGTTTTCATTGTCCATTGCAGACAATTTACGTCCAGATTCCGTTTTACTGATTCTTGACGCGGAAATCGGCTTATTTATGAGGGCAAAGGCAAAATAGCTTTTAGGGCATTTTTCTCATATTTTTTTTTTATTTTCCCTCCGCCACCGCCACCACCACTACCATACTACAGAGATTCTACCTCAAAAAAGGGTAAATTCGGTACCTACTATACCACTAACGAACCTAACGAAATTTGCACCCGTTTTAGTGGAAAAGAGCCAAAATGCCTTTTTTTTGCTTGCTGAAGGCTTAAAATCACACTGACGAAGGAAAAAGAAAGGAAAAATAGTAAGAGCAAGGAGTAAAGGAAAGGAGTAGAGGAGAAAAAGGCAACGTTACACCCTTGGTTTTTATAATGGCAACGTTGCAAATAGGTTTTAAAAGTAAAAAAAGATGCTAGACGGAAGAGGTCTATTTGGCGATAACGTTCTCCAAATTCCATCTAGATACATGAACACACAGTTCTAAAATGACTCCGCATATTATGATAGGACAGGCTAACACTGACCTCTCTATTTTCACAAGGTCTACTCTCTGACAAGTTGGACATCTTAACTCCAATTGTCGGTAATATCTTGGTAGGAAGGCCGTTTGTCATTCGATTGCTCTAGAATAAGCAGTCATATTTGGCGTAAAAAAAATAAAATGAGTCAGTTTGTTAATGCAAAATACATACCCCCAAACTAGTTAGCTAGGTGTTCTCCTTGACTAATTATTTAATTTATCGGATGAATTGGTGTAGTTAGTTCTGATTTCATGAAATCATGGTTTCATTGTTATTATCACTGTTCAATTCTTCAATCGAATGAAAGATCACCCTTTGTCACTGCTTTTACCCCAAGGCTTAATTTTTTTGTTAGTTCTAGCAAAAGAATGACAATCGTTAATGTCAACCATCTATAGTAAATTAAACCTGTGAACAATGTGGACGCAAGTCTTTTCTTTGAATTACAACAGGTCTGCTTCCAACTTTAAGTAATTTCACAAACGTAAGAAAGCGTTTCGTCACAAGATGAAACACTGAGACTAGAGTCGAAAAAAAGCGGAGTATTTTAGATGAACTTCGAGGTGTTTAATCTTATGATAAAATACTGTGTCGAATGTTCGATATTTCCTCTTCAACAAAATGATTTCACTTAGAGAAATTAAGGATGCAAAAATAAAAAGTCTTGTAAACTGATTTCCTAACACTCATTAAACATCAATTAGAATAACCTTGTAAGTTGAATCGGCTCCTGAAGCATAGCTTGTTCGCTCTCGTTTATTTCTCCACGTGCCTATCGCTACTCGAACCTAAAACAAAATATGATTGTGAAGATGATATTATGTTTGGCTACACAAAAACTGTTCCTTTTTTTTTTTTTTTTTTTTTTTTCATTCTCGTTATGCCCATCACTTTTTTCTGTCTACTGAATATTAAGCCGGAAGCACTGATGGTTTGTTGAATCACCAAAGGCACCTATTTCTCTTTTTCATTGACCTTCAAGCATCGCTAGCCGTTGGATACTGACAATTGAAAGTTAATAAACATAAATGGAATATTTGCTTGCGAATAGGATTTTTATGCTTTTCCCCTCCACTTATAGTAACTCGATTATTATTGCGTGACATTATCCGTGCAATTGATCGGGGTTTTCTGCATCTTGACCAATTGCTTCCCCCTCTACAGTTTGGTCGCACGTGGAGTCGATGCTTCAATAGGCCATTTCTACTATGACATCATTTTACGACTACGACAAGAATCCTTCAGAGTTTTGCTTTCTTGTGCAAATTAGGTCTTTTGTTCTTTAAACCTCACTGCGATTACAAAATTTAAATATGAAAGGAAAAACGAAAAGGGCTCTAGTCGTTGTAATGACGCTATCGTGCAAATAGCCTATTGCGTACTGTCATTCGCTCTGGCTACTCGCTGCTAAAAGGTCAATTTTTACCCGCCCCTCCCCCGCCTTGGGTTGGCGTTTTGGGTTGCCCTCACCTTTACTGGGCGAACAAAACTCTCGTAAATTAGATAACACAAATGAAAAGAATATTAATGTCATTTTAATAAAAGAGGCTATGGGCTTCGTCCATAGCCATTTAACTCCATGTTGTTTGTAAGTTCTTTATTTGGGCCCAGTAAACTAGCTTCGGGAAATGCAGCACCTATCTAATTTATCAGGGGTCGGAGGGGAATGGAATGAAAGGGATTGAGTGCTGTTACAGATGGTCTTGACTTGTTGACGTTTAGATTTTGTTTAGACACATTCTCTTTATCAAGCCCCAAATGTATAGTCTTCGTTGTTGTGTTGTTGTACTTTACGCGACAATTTCTGTCTTTAAAAACAATTGAATTATGGGCGCCATAAAAACAGAGGCTGTAACTGAGATTTAATTACTTTCTTGCCGAATAAACGTGGATAAGAAAAGTTGCTATGCCAGTAATTCTAAGTCTCAATTGACCTCAAATCTATTGAAAACTCGGCTGCAGCCCTAACAAACAATAGTAAGATAGGATTAAGGGTTTGAAATCATAAAAATACTAACTTCAATTTATCGTTGATGAAGACTGTCATAAGAACTAGCTAAGGTAAAAAAATAGCGAATAAGTATGTAACAAACCTGTTGATCTAACACGCAGTGGAAAATAAATATAAAGAATCCCTGCAAGAAAACAGCAAATAATATAAGGTTTAGCAGTTTATTAAGCTCAATCCGATCTCAACGTAATCTAAAAGGTACAAACCTGAAGAGAGTTGAAAATTGCAAACAAATAAAGGAAAACCACTGTGTTTTTATCAAATGCCAGAACTCCAAACAACCATGTGATACCAAGTAAAGGTAGCAGAACAACAGTACTCTTGATTCCAAGTCTAAATAAACAAACAAAGCGACACAAATAAGGCGAAGTTAAGGAGCAGTACTTGAATGTTAGTATCCCTGTGTCCCTACCGTTAACACACAAAAATAAAAACTCAGCCACAATTGAGACATTTATGTAGACAAAATATAAGTCTAAATGCAATATTCCAATTGGTCGTTCAATGAATAGTATTTGTTGAAAATTATCTGAGTCATATAAAAACAGCTGTTCAAATACATCTGTCTGCCTCCCAAGAAAAAAAAAAAAAAAGAAAAAAAGGTTTAAAAAATTATGATTTGACAAGAATAGCACGTTGGTATTTAGTTACACCCCGTGCCATGCAAATCATAAGTCACGACAGAAAGCACGTGTCAGAGGTCTTTTTTAGCTTTTTGTGTTTTGAGGGGGTAGACGAGACAATTCAAAAGATCGAACTCCACGTTATTCCACATCGCATTCATGAGACCTGAAAGTCGATAGTTAATTCATATCTACCAGTTTCAGTGAGCGAAAAAAAATCCAAAGACCATCTTACTTAATTTTGTTTCTGTCCGAAGCTCCCATCATCTTGTGACTTGTCAACATGGCGCGTAAAACCAGAACAAATATAATACCATTAATCTGCCATAAATATGAAATGTTAGTTACAACACTTGTGATAATTAGTAGAGCCCAGGAAAGGAGGATACCCTCTTGGCCACGCTCAATTGGGTACACAAGGCGAAGAACCTGTTCAGTTTGAAGGCGAATTTGTTGACCTTAACAACTTTATGAAATGAGTTATTAACTGACCTTAAAAAATGCACTTTATCTGAGAGTCAATCAATTTAGCATGAAAGTACTAATTGAGGACACCATGTTTAGGTATCTCATGGAGACTGGACCCCATTTAACGTGATCATCCAAGCCACGCAAAGGTGTAAAGACTTTTGGACGGTAAAGGCAGCACGTCTCTTCATTTCTCAGTTCTTTTAAGACCCTTAGCATTGGTCCGACCCCGGGAAGCGAACCCGTGACCTTCCCGCTCTTCAGTCAAGGGCTCTACCAACCGAGCTAATCCTGCTGCGGTTATCTCCTTGCAAAACTGAAGACATATTTTATACTTAACTGAGCAATTCAGAGACTCATCAATGATAAAAGATAGCCCGTTTAACTCCTCCCCCACCCCCTTTCCAAATATCTGCATTTTATTTCAAGAATTTCAACAAAGACAAAGCGGAAAAACCTACCAACACAACTGTGAGGGCTGGGCCTATAAATGTCCAAATAAGGCCAGATGATACAGATATCCAACATCTAAAACACAACGGCGGATACGTTTAAAAATAACGGTACTGAAAAAATAGCGGGAAAAAATTTGAGACAGGTAACAGAAAAACTGTGTGATGGTCTTAAGAGGTTATACAGTCAACAATCGACACTTTAACCGTCCCAACTCTGGGTCAAAAGTGCCTAAAGTCCAGATCACTTACGTTTGATCAGCTCCATAACCAACGGTTTGTGTGATTCCCAGACAAGAAACTACAATACTCAGGGGTAAACCTACAAGATAACAGAGAAACATGTACAATCGAAAAGCAACTAAAATGACTATTTTTAAGTGTCCCCAATTAGTGGGCCTCCATAGGCATGCTTAAAGATTTTGACAGTTAAATAAAGTTTGTATATATGTTTGTGTGTAACTGTAAAGAATAGAACTGTTTAGCTTGTATATTTTGTTTTCCCAATGAAAGCAAAACAAACAAGCTTAAGAGGTCTTTTAGGCTGGTTAAATAGGATTCTTACGATCCCTAAGGAATCTGAACAGTGCTGTAATGTATGAACATCATTTTCACGCGATATCTATCTGATGCATATGCAGCCTCGCCTGCAGGTGGTTTTCGGAGCTACTCATATTTACTGTAAGTTGAGTCGAGTTGTGTTCTCAAAGCTTAAACCCAGGATTCTATAAGTGCAAAGTTACAGTACTAAGGGACACTGATTTTAATTTCGAAGTAACTTGATCAAGTCTCGCCCCAAATCTAGACACTCGTATTCTTTAGATTAAGTAAGTATTAGAAATTAAGTAGTTAACAAGTTCATTAGCCTTCAGAGACAGTTTTGAATAATAATAAAAGCAAATCAGGTGAGTAAACAGTCGACACTTACCCCATCCCAGGATATAAAAATATTTAAGCTTTCCATCCCCTGCGAAAACTTTAACAATTGAGAAATAAATCTGTAATCCTTCAGCCAACATCCAAAATATGGCGCTCAGGAAGAAGAAGTGAAGCAAAACAGAGACGATCGTGCAAAGGATCTAAATTGAAAAAAGGACGAAAAATATAACGAAAAGAAAAAAATAATTGCTGTGACATGTCAGCTCCCACATCATCTTAAAAGAAACAGGTTATAAAAGAATTTAAGAATCTCTTAGATGTTTGTCTGTCTGTGAAAAAAAAGGATTCGTGTGGAAAAGCTAGAAGGCGGCGCTGAAGTCTATTATATCTCGGCAATTTAAAACAAATGTCTACGGTAATACTACTGACTCAGTGTCTAGCTGACATCTATAAAAAGAAAAGAACGTACGATCATTGCCCCTCCTTTTTCACATTGCAATAGTTGTATATTAAAAAGTTTATAATTAATTAAATGGATAAGCTAGTCACCTGTACCTTGTATTCTGTAGCAACATAACCAACCAGCAAAAGGATATTAGCAATAAGAAGAGCAATACATAGGTTGACGTGAATTACTGTCTTGGGTGACTTCAAAATCCTCAATAAAGAGCAGAAAGCAAATTATTATATTTAATCATTGTAATTTGACAACTTTTAGAACTCATGCAAATTTTGTGGCGTAGGTAACAAACCTCCACAACACAATGTGAAGAATGAGTGTTATGACAAGTCCCAGTAGAGAGAGGCAACATCCAACTAACGTGATATAACGCAACGGCTCACTGTGTTCTGACTGATGATCCTTAAAATACAAATATGCTATTAGTAACTTCTTATATCAATAATATAGTAACGATAATATAACAATATTTATTTATGTTTCTTGCGCAAATATCAATCCAGGGAAAGAAATTTTCATCTGCGCATTACATTGGCTCAACAAAATCCTAATATATATTATTGGATGAAGTTTTTATAAAACCCGGAATAATCAAGGTCCATGGAAGTCATGAAATGCGCGAACAACCTACAGATAAGTCTTTAAGTGTCTGCTCGCAGCATGGATAATAGAAAGACTGGTCTTTCTATTATCCACGATAGCAGATAACTAACTAATCTGTAAAACAAAACTGAATTCAGAGCTGGCATTTCGGCAAAGGGCTGATTTATTCTGGGCCAATATTTCGGCTAACAAAATTGGCCTTCCTCAAGGCCAAAGCTATGCCGAAACAAAATATCTTTTAACGGCCCCAAAATTTGAATTTAAAATTCACATAATTGGTGAATAGTTAACTGCAATTATAAATACTAGATAGAATAATATACAGGTAAATGATTATACAATAAAGATAGAAATAGAAACAGTTCAATAACTCTGTAGGCTGCACTGGTTTCCAAAAAATAGCTGTAAGCTCTTAGCCAATGAGAAGACAGATAGTGAGTACAATGTATAATAAATATGATAATCAGTGATCTATCTTTATCCTAGGAGAAAATAATACCATCGGTTATGAGAGCGTTGGGGTCGAACTTGACTAATGGTTTCTTAGTCCAAAAGTGTATTTCTTAATACAAAATCAATATTCTGACAAATCGAGCCTTCTATTAACGGCAAATATCATTCACATGAAGCGAACTTCCCGTATAAAGAAATTAGACGCACCTTAGACACGTCTTATCTAAGAACATTATTCTTAGGTAAGACTCTTCTTACTCAGTCTTGCTGACTCGACTCGTCTTTTGGCGCCGCTCTCCCTTATGCCACTGATAATTTTCTTTGTATAGATTAGCGTTCTCTTCTTCTTACAACGAATACCGTTCCCCCCGGCCCCACCTTCCTGTTAAGCCTTTTGCTTTGTTTATTGTTTCTCATCGTTTTTCTCTGTAATGACAATTTTTGTAACTTTTATACCTTTTTCCCTTTGTATGTAAATCTGTAACAAAGTGTTGTAAAAAAAATAGTAGCAGACATGTTTACTGGATGCATCAAATATCTTTAAGAAAGTTCACGATACATTGGACTGGGCAAAAATAAATTTTAGTTTTAGCATGAAGTTAGGTTATCCTGGGTGTTTATTGTGTGACATGAAGTAACACGTCAACAAAAAAGTTTTACTTACAGAGGATATGCCGGTCGTGTCCATCAAAACCGCAAAATTCGTCAAATGATCACACTCGCACGTGACACTACCGTTGTCATGTGACGCAAGCTGACAACCGTCAGTGGACCAGCCGCCACCTTCCTCATTACTAAAATTCAAACAGAACATTTTCAGGGCTAATAATTTAAGTTGGAATGTGTCATTACTGAATCAGGCCCAAATTTACGCTAGTGAGTTTCTATCGCAGTACATGAATGTACTAAAAGGTGAACTAAAATTAACATGCCACTAAGAGTGAACTTGTTGCTTACCGACTTGCAACGGCCGCTTGCGCATTAATATTATTTCTCGTTGTTATGGAAGCAACCCTTTTTCGGGGAATTGCAGAGTGTCCTTAATTAACCAACAGAAAATTGACTACCATCCGACCCTGAAGTTTACTAACATCCCATCTGGGAAGCTTTCGTGAGATTGTCAAATTCCTTGATTCCCCTTTGGGAAAGCAGTCTCTTTCATTAGGAGTCTTTTTTCCCTTTTCTTACGTAAAGTCTAAAAACTAGACTAATGAGCTAACAATAAACCTAATCCTTTCCAATCAAAGCTACGAGACAGCTGGGTCCATGCTTCAGAATACATCAAGTGCTGTTATACACACATCTCAGATACTACATCTGTAGCCTCTACTCTTTAGTTACTTACAGGTCGTAATCCCAGTATACGCAGATAACAGATTTAGCAGAATCCTGCAAGCAAAAGACACAATGTTTGTTTAAAAGTACAAAACGTTCCGGTCAAGTATACTTTACCACATCGTTACATGGTTTCTTCGCTCAGAAAGTTACAGAATATTGTAGGACGTAGCCAGCCATTTTTTTCTTTTAAGCCCGAGTTGTAAATTTTTAAAAAACATCCTAGGGGGGAGGGGGAGGAGAACAGGCTCCTTCAGATAAAGAACATACTGTCGTAGTAACAGGGAGGAATATCTGACCATAATAACCTTTTTGACTTATTTATAAAGATCTCTATTACACACATGTATATCGCTCAAGGTCAGTAGAGACGTGAGTAGAACTTGAGCAGGTACAGTGGCTCTAGCAAAACTTCAAGAATTCTTTTTTCCTCTTTTTCTTTTCCAGCAGAAGTTGAAAAGATAAGCTTAACTTTTCTTTCTGGATACATAGCTGCAGCGCACGTAAAAAAAGGAAAAAAACTTCTTATCTTACGTACTGCAACAGATCTATAACAAATTACCTGAACACCGCCGAATACAATCACCACAGGATCAACTAATTTTCCTGGAGGTGGCTTTACTGAACTAGCAATGATGCGAGAATCTACTTGGAACTGCTGGCCAACTTTTTCATATGCACTAAAATGTGAAAAGACACTACTTGTACATAAGCATTGTTAATACGCTAAAACTGGACACATATTTTTGCCTAAACTTCAAGTGATCGGCGCTGCCTATTTCCCTTTCGTAAACTGTCGTTGTCATTTTTAACGATCGGTGCCAACATTGGTAACCAAACTTTTAGTCAAGATAGCTGTAATATATTCCCTGGATTAAAGTACCAATAAGACAAATAATACATTTTGAATAGTCTGAGAAAGAATGACGTCTGAGACCAAGTTGAATTTACGTTAAAAGGTATTGAAAGGGCTGGGGTCAACAGTTTTAAAGGTATCAGTTATGAAAGACAGTTTATTATCCACAGTTTTGACTATAGTAGTGTAGTGGTAAGGTAGAGAGATTAGAAACATTCTTAACGACAGGTCAAAAGTTTCTAATTGTCTTAGGATTGAAATAGTAGCCGTTTTACGAAAAGGAAAATTGTATCGGTGCGTTGTAAGTGTTTCTCTCTAGGATATCATCGTCGAGTATTAAGCCTGCAAAACCTGAAGAGTGAGACCGTGCAAGCGAAAAATGTTGAGAAGAGGAGCAAGTGGTTATTGTGTAACTGAGATACTGACGATAAAAGACTGACAAGGAGCCAGAGTCTGAACTAAGATGATTTTTTAAATGAAGTTGAAGAATATTGACACAAATACTATATACAGAGAAAATTGCCTTGAATATTATTTTTATCTACCGTACCTGTCCTGATTCAAGAAAGAAGTTAACGTTCTGAAGAGAAAGCTTGCTACTTTTGTTCCTGCGAAACAAAATTATAACGTCTATTGTATTTCAACTTTAAGAAAACAGGAAACCTCTTAATAACAACATTTTGAAGCCAAATGTCGCGATTGCCAGAATACAACACACAATGTAGAACAAGGACGTTAAACGTTTACGTTGACAGCTTTCGTGAGCTGGACTGTGGTTCGACTGCGTTGCTATGTTGCGCTTCTGGAATTGTGTTATACTTACCGTTGGTTGATAAGCTGTTATCGTCGCTGAAAAGACTGGCTGGTAAGGTGATGTATTGTTTACCACAGTTTGTCCAGTTTGGTGATGACAAAGGACCATCTGAATAACTAGGAAAGGTGACTGGTCCTTGAGCATCAGATGTAACAAGTAGTGTCTCCATTGCTACATGGCAGAAAATAAAAAGTTATGAAAATGTGGTCTTAATAATGAAGTTCTTCAGTTCAGTTGAGTTTATTTTCAACCTTTTCAAACCTGCGTATTATACTTCGACCTGGTGGACAATAGTGACGAAAGAGCTGGAGGAGTTGGGTCTGAACTCGGGCGAAGCAAAGGCCAAACAGGCTCAGGACAGGGTAAATTGGCGAGTCGTTTGATTGCGGCCTTATGTCCCAGCCGAGATGAAGAGGTTGAATGAATGAGTGCGGGAGGGGGAAGGGGAAGGATCTGATAAAGTGACATTGCTCGAAGGGAGGCTCCTGCTGACAGCGCGTCTGTTTACACTCTAGTTACCTAGGTTGTCCTTTACCACAGATTGCACCGAGTTCAAGTTACTCTGTCCAGCAGCTGCCTGGAGGCCATACTCCTCTAATATTTTGGTTAAATCAGTTGTTGTCCTATCACTCTGTTGAAAGGTAACAAGGACAAACACAAAAATTTGCACTGAAAGACTGAACATTAGACAAAACGTAACAAATTAATGTCAAAGTAGAAGACAAAAAACCGGTAATTGATTAATTAGATTGTTAGTTTAATTTTACCAGCGTCTAATATCACAGAGTAGTTTGGTAAACAATGTGAATGCATACAAAAATACCTTCTGTAATTGATTGAAATCTCTTAAATTGTTCAAGTGGAGAAGGTTGCTGGCAGTCTGGAGAAATCCCTAGGAAAAAATCAAAAATAAAGTTGTAACTTTAAAAAGAAAGTTTGAGGAAATCGTTACAGTTAAGGTCACAAAGGGTTGTCCTTTTTTAGCCAATGAAGGTCGTAAAACAGTTTTACTCACTTAGTAACTTTCGCCACTTCCGCATTGCCCAAAATACACCTTGGATGACCATCTGCAAAGTCTTGCATAAGCACAAATTTTGTCTTCAATTTATCTTTCGGCAACTGACATCCAGGAGAAAGTAATTGAAAATAAGGTCATGCAAAACTTTGGGCGACAAACAAACTGGATTATGGGCGACGCAAAAATGGCGAATGAGCTGCAATTAAATTTATAGAGCAAGGAAGAGGATCTTTATTATCCACAGGGCGCCCGATAGCACATGTTTCAAATAGATAATAAAGATTACAAAAGTGTACTCTATCAACACTTAACTATCCTATGTTCAGTCCAAAATTCAGTTACATGAAGTAATTTTGATGTCCTCTGATGCACCTTTCCCTTTCGCCCATGCAATCCCATTCGTATTTGGCCACCGTTTTTGAGTCTTTTCTCCTTGCTCTATGCTTATCATCTCTACTGTTGTTCTGATTGTACATTTCCCTGCATCACAAGATACAGTAGTAATAGATAATTTTATAAGGAGCACTGACCTCTATATTTGCTACCTCAGTTTCAAGACTGGCAGAAAACTTCCTGTTGTACTCTACAACTTCTCTTAGTATCTCTGTTGATACTTTAATATTTCCAGCCATCACAGCGTCATACCTCTGTGGTTTAGTTAGTGTCGACAGCTCAGTGATAATCATGGTGACTTGGCTTTTCGAGGGTCTGGACGAGTTGACCAAGTTTTCAAACTATAGTAGAAACAATATCCAACAATATGAAGTTATTCCCTTAAGGGAAATCAAATCTCAACGTTATAGCATCCGTAGGTTTCAATTATAGTATCATATTAGCTATTTGAATTTAATATTTGATTCTTCTCAAAAAAAAATACTAGCCTTCAGTTGGAGAAAGACTGATGTGACCATGTCATAATAGAAAGCTCACATCTTATCAAATACAAACCAGCTATCGGGATTATGCATATAAAGGGCAATTTCTATCAAAGCAAAGTTACCACCAGCCTTGCTTCCACACAAAGGCTCGATTGCTTTGCATACCACTGTGAATTTAACGCTCA